TTTTTGGAAATGGAAATATAATCACCCTATATTCAACAAACTGTCCACCCGGGCTTTTGCGCTGCACATAGACGCTTCGCTGCCTGTGACTTTGAACATCAGTTGAGAGTCAGTCTCATGCAGACTGACAAATGAAGAGAGGGCCTCAAGTTAAGACCCTCTCCTCATTGGTCATTCCACACGAGGTGGGTCAAAGGTTACCCTGAGTGGGTTACGTGATGTCAGGCATTCAAGTATTGAGTATATTTACTGCACATTACAGTAATTTATTCTGTATGTGACCATATTATGGTGATCCTTGGGTCGTGATGATGGGGCCCTTTAATATTGTTGCCCAGGGTACAACAAAGCGTTAATCTGGCCCTGGTGTTAATTATAGTTTTTTTGGTTGCGCCACTTTGAGAATGGACCGTGCGCTGGACGCAGCTGCCTGGAGCGCTGAACGCCAACGATGATCGCTATATGTGCTCTCTGCTCGAAAGAGTTCATGAATGATGTAATATAGGTAGAAAACGTTTTATCCGGCTCCCCTGGATGTGTAGGATATCCATTTCCCCCATAATTCGATCCCTGCTCCTGGATGAAAAACCCCCGGACGCCCAGACAGAGAGTGAAAAGTGGACATGTCCGGGGAAAAGAGGACGTATGGTCACCCTAGTTTAATATAAAGCGGGAGATTACAGATACAGTATTTTGCTCGTGCCCTTGTTGGCCTGGGCCCTTTGGAGTTCGTGGGCCCCTGGGCAATTGCCCAGTTGCCCATATGGTTAATCCGGCCTTGCAGGCACTTAGCGACAGTGGAGAGGAAAACTCTTTTAACAGGGAGAAACCTCCAGCAGAACCTGGCTCTGAGCTGCTATCTGCCATCTCACGGGGGTTTGAGAAGACACACACACACACACACACACACACACACACACACACACACACACACACACACACACACACACACACTGATTTCTTAGATATTTCGTAACAGATAAACTTCATTGTCTTTATCTAAGTGAATCTGTAATTAATTTAACAGATGACTTGTACACTCCACCTCCCTCTACTCATCCACTCGTCCAAACCCGGGCCAATATCAGTAAGAATTTAAGCCATTTTCGATGAGATGATGAAGTTTTAAGCAATTGAGAAACTAAGTTTACAAATGAGGCTTGTGGGAAAAGGACTTGTTCTTGCATCATTGTTTTAGGAAAATAAGACACCAGTGCATGTTCAAAACTTCAAAACGATTCTTCCCATCTCTTCTAACAAGTACAGCTGAAATCAGTTTGCATCATTCTTGTTTTGCATTTTGTCCCAGTGGGAGATGCTGCATTACATAGATCAGTAATCTTAATGAAAAAATCTGAGGAACTACATCTGAAAACAGTTTTATGATGATGTTTGTGACTGAAGGGAGATAGCATTTTTGATGGAATTTTTCCAGGAAAATGTCTTCATGATTACAAAAAAAACATTTGGGCTATAGTTCAGTTTGGGAACTTTAGATTTGTACTCAAATCAGCATAAATATGTTGCAGTGAACTGTGATGTTCTCTTTGCGTTTAGTGAGAGCAAAGGATAAACGCTGACTGTTGCTGCAAAATAGACTCACTTTTCATTTTATCAATTAGATGAAAATTGGAGTTGATGATCACACTTGCATAAGTGCAAATATATTTTAAACCCAGTAACGGAGACATTGCATGCCCTTGTAGCAAATTAACAAGCCTGTGGCTCAAATGACACCCCCATATATTTTTCTCATCCAATTATTAAGATCCAATTAAAAACTTGAAACAACAAACAAAATTACCAAGCTGAGTTAAGAAACCAAGCTAAAAATGTGTTTTAATTATTCTCACACCTAGGACAAATAAAAGCAAATAGAAATAGAACAATTGATAACTAATGTGACACGGATATTTCTAAGGGCAGGATGAATGGGTGGATAGATGGATGGATGGATGGATGGACAAATAGATGCATAAATGAATTGATACATGAATGGATGGATGCCCTTGCAAACAGCTAACGTCTCATGGACGTGCAAATAAGGTATTGAGTCCGTTGGTCCAGACCAATTCCGAACTATGTATTTGCACATTGGGCATGGATGAATGAATGACGCATGGATGAACTGATGAATGCGTGGGTGCAGGGCTGGATGATGTATGCATAGGTGCATGGATGATGCACTTGTTAAGTGCAGAAATGGATGGATTTTGGACAAGATAATTACGCTTTAAACTAATTCAGGGGTGCCTGATTTAAATATATGTAAAAAAAACTTCGGAAAGTTTTCACAAATGGGACCAGACTGGGGCCACTGAAAAAAAAAAAATCTGGTAACGATAAACTAGCTAAACCACCTTTTTATACTTCGCAGTGAAGACTTGATAGTAAACGTGGTGTGTGTCTGCTCTCCTTTCTCGGTATGGAAAAATGACACGTGTAAAGGCTGTGCAGGCACACAAAGAGTCTGTGTATGACCGTTGCTGGTACCGCGACGTCAGCGACTCTGTCGGGGGCCAGCAGCAGCAGCTACGTCACTCCCTGACGGCGGCACATCAGAGGAGCACTGACGGTCAGCCGGGGCTAGCAGCAGCGAGAGGCGGCGCGCGCTCGGCGGAAGAGGACAGCGGTTCACTGCTTTCTATACGCTCTGTTGTGGGTCAGCCTGGACCAAGTCCTCATACTCCAGTAGCGCAGGTAAATCCTAAAGTATTTCTTCCCGAAAGCTTGAAGCATTTTTATTTTTACGGTCAACTGGCAGCTCTGAACAGCGCGTGGGTACCAAACGTGGCGAGTGGACTAGCGAGCCTCGCATTGTCCCTGTTGTCCTGTAGCCATAAACTGCGTTGCTATGGTGCCGAAAGGCAACATCCCACCTGCTGCTGCCATCACACACACACACACACACACACACACACACACACACACACACACACACACACACACACACACACACACACACACACACACACACACACACACCTGTCAAACGTTTGTAAAGGAGTTTTACTGTTTATGACTTTCGGTTTCTTTAGAACCATTTAATTAACTAATTTAATGGAGTAGCCTACACTGGAAGAGTTTAGCCTCTGCAGCTTCTAGAGGTAAAAAAAACAAAAAAAAAAACAAGTCATCTGCTTCTCAGTGTTTTTCCTTTATTTGAATTCCATTCCATCCCATTCCAATTTCCAGTAAAACCATCACAGGTTGCCAGTTTCATCCTAACTGCTGTTTTGTTTATTTTTACAGCTTCCAGGATCTAAAACGGTTGTGCAAACAAAAGATGGTGATCACCAGCGTGGCATCCCTTAGAAGGACTTTGGACAAAGAGAGCAAATGTTAGCACTGAAGGTGCAGTAGTTTTCTGCGTAGCACGTCTCAGACAGATGCTGTTGTTAGAAATCAGTGCATGCCAATACCAGGCCTGTGACACAAAGAAATTCCATTATCCCTATCTCTCTTGACTGCTGTGACAAGGAGGGAAATCACCAAGCCATTCTGTGGAGAGGCAGGGAGGGAGGGAAAATTATGAGTCAGAATGTAGGAGTAAAAAAACTGTCACTCTTCGATCTGCTTAAACTTTCTAGAGAGTGCACAATGCTTATTTTAAGAGCAGTACCAGATACCTTTTTTACTGTAGAGCAGGTATTCAAAACAGTAGAAACATGTGACACATGCTTGGTATTTATTTAGTTAATAGAATTGATGCTCTTTGAGCAAAACTAAGGCCTATTAATTGCATTTTAGTGTACTCATCTCCTTATCTCAGAATGGGGGATTCTGTTCTGCTGTAATGTACGCTGAGCAGTAGAGATAGTGGTGGGAAAGGAGGGGTGGGTGGAGTAAAAAGAACAGTGAGCGACTGTGAGGCAGAGTGTGCTTAACCCAGCATTTGAGTGACTCTTGTATCCAAGGACGAAGGTAGCAACGCATCCGAAAGCCACTCCTCGCCCACGGACTGCTGTGAAGAAGTGAGGCGGACGCTCAGACGCTCAGTGGTGCTCAGATAGACTCAACAGCCTCACAAAACCCCTGGGGTTTGATGTCTGATGTGCCAGGGATGATGACAGTGCAGATCATGACCACAGCTAGAGTGAAGGATAGACTCACGTAGCTTGAATGGGAGTTCCCCCCCTTCTTTTTTTTCTCCATCGACACAGACCAAAACAAAATAGTGTTTTGCTTTTTAAGAAAACAGTGTCATTTGTATCCTAAATCAGCCCACGGTTGTTGCATGTTTCTGGCAGAGGAGCACACTGGAGCGAGGTAGTAACAGGTGCCGTGTCCCACAGCGATTCTGGAGGTGTGGATGAGAGCTGAAGATCATGGGAAAATCAAACAGCAAGCTCAAACCGGAGGTGGTGGAGGAGCTGACAAGGAAAACCTACTGTGAGTTTCTGCCTGTCTTTATAAAAATGATAACTTTATTAAACACTTTGTAACTTTGGTTAAATAAAGTTTAATATATGAAAATACATATATTGATGCTGCAGATTCCACCTTCTGTGACCCTCTCTACAGCCTATTGGGATTCTTCACTCTGGTCATTATTGATAGAACAGAGCTGCAGCTAAATGTCAGGCTTATTTGATTTAAATTTACAGTTCAATGTGTAGCAAACAGATTCGTTAAGGTCAGACAGAAAGTTGGAATCAGCATATTTAAATCATGATGTGGAAACTTAAATATAAGGAATAGGCCTGCACGGAAAACCTGCGGTATTCGATAGCAATGATTAATATTGCAATGACGATATTACTTGCGATAAATAAAAAACTTAACTCAAGAACAAAAATAATCAAAAACAAAGAAATAAAAAAAAAATCATAAAAATGAGAAAAGCAAAGGATGTGAAGAAAGGTAAAAAGAAAATGAACAAGAAAAGACAATCAGTTGATCCCGGGAAAAGCAGAATCAGCAAAAAGAGCAGAACAAAGCTAACTCAGGTGTTTGCTAACCATCTAAATTAAGTGCTGTCCGCCTCGGGGGTGGGCATCTAACCTATGAGAACCCACCCAATTGGCCAAATGGGTAAAGAGCTCTATTTGATTTGTTAAAAAAAGCATCATGCTTCCGTTTCGTTGACAGAATGCATTATGTTTAGCAAACATTTGTGATATTTACCTGTTCTTTGCGATATGCATATTGTGCATGCTGATATTGCGATAACGATATATTTATGATATATTGTGCAGCCCTAATAAGGAACCTGAGTTTGTGTCAGCTGTCGTGTGGTTTCATGGGTTTTGCTGCAGAACTCTTCTTTGTTGGTAGATTTACTAAGTTAAATCTTTTTTTAATGCTTTACTGTAAAATTATCAACATTTCTGCATAGCAGAGCTAGACAAAAACAAACAAATAAATAAATAAGTACTGCTTCTGTAACCTTTCCAACTCGTTGATACATGAAAAAGAAAATTCTCAAGTTTTTTCTATCAAAATTGAGCACATTTCACATTTATGGTTAACACCATCAGTGTCTGCTTTGAAGACTATTTTTAATCGTTTGTGTTATTTCTGGAGTGCAGCGCTGTGATTATTTGAACAGTGCAGGTGTGGGTGGGAGTTGACATCCACTGGCTGCTTAATGACAGTGTTATTTGTGTGGTTGGTCTCCACAGCAGAAGCGAGGAGGGCTGTTGTAGCAGGAAATTGCAGTGGAGGAAGATTAGGCATCATGCTGGGCTGGACCACTTGCTGCTGTCCTGTGCTTGTTGTCTTTCTCTGTTACCCTCTAACCCTGTCTCTTTTGCGTTATTCTCCTAATTGCCCTCTTTGCGTGTGGAAGGGAATAGTACAATTAGGATTTTATCTGGTTAGCTATCGCTGAGAGGGGCACCAAGCCTTTCTCTCCCTGTGCGATTACTCCGAGTCTATCATTTCTGTCGTCTTTCATCTTATTACGTCGTTCTCTTGCCCTCCCACGAGGAGCCTTGTCTGCTGTTTTAGTCAGTGCTTTCCTTTAGTTCTTGACAGATTGAGGACTTATATTTCTCCATGCCTGTATCTCTTTTCGCTTTGGTATTAGAAGAATGAGCACTTATTTATTTTCTCTGGCAAATACCCTACGTTTCAACAGACAAGCAAGAAGACCAGGCCTAAAATAAAACTCTTTATTCCAATAAGATCTTAGAAGGTGAAGTAGCTATTTATTTTTATTTTTTCAGCACCTCTTATCCAAATGTATTAAACCTAGCACTGTGTGGCGAGAAGCCACACTTATTTTAAGATGATAATGAAATACAAAGTCTGGAAAATGTTTTTGATCTAAAAAGAGCTTAGTTTGTCCAGAAGTGATTTTCTGAACGATCGCTCTGGCACTGCACAGAGAGAGCAGCAGTGCTGCTGAAACCTCTGAGGGATGGAGGGCAGATCTAAGTAAACGTGTTAATTTTGCAAGTTGTCAAGAGGCAACGACACTCACAGTGACAGAGTCACGAGCTCAGTGGACCCAGCTGGCCAAGTCCACCTTGCTCTCTCCGGTAACTAGCCAATTAGATTATTTCTATTGCCATTCACTGAGTTATATAAGATATATTTTTTCTAAATTGCAGCCTTGGTAAATTGCCTGAGTTTTATTTTTCTTTTTTGTTCTGTATCGGCTTTTTAGGCCAATTTAATGGTCGCTTAATTTAGCTGACAGTCGTGAGATCGGCTTGGCATTTATTGCCCTGGAAGTGGTCACATGAGGGGTTTCCTGATGAAAAGCTGAGCGGAGCAAATTGATATGGAAATATATTCATGCAAAAGCTGCTTGACCTGACCTCCTTATCAATAGGTTTCACAGCATTATTTTGCTTTGGCACCTCCACAGTTACAGTATTAAAAGGTTTGACTAAAACATTAAAGTTTTCTTGCTTAAGGCACATTTAGATGCATCCTAGCTTTGTTTTTCTGTTGTGCACTGGCCATGACTATGAGTGGCTGAAGGTTAAACATTACAGTAGATAGTTAGAGTTTAACTACGGTAACTGTTAACTGTCTTGCTTTCCTAGGGCCCAGCAGACGAGATCTATTCTGAGACCTCAGCAGCAACAACAGAACTTCAGAAAGTTGATCTCAAAGGACCGCTCGACTAAACTGAAGTTATTGATTTTCAGACCTCATTTTCATTATAAAACCCCAGGTGCTAAAAGACTGAAAATTACTTTGGTAACATTAGAGAAGTAGTCAGGCGGGATTGACTGATGAGATCCACGCAGATTGTTCTGCTTGTGTGAGCGTAATAACACATCCTGCTGCCTAAACTGTGTTTTCTCCTAAATCTGTGGCTGACCTTCATTCTCTGTGTTTTGCCTGTCTGTAAGTGGCTCCCTGGGGTTTACTCCCACTTTCCTACTACTGTCCTAGCCAGGAGGAATGGTTCTTTTGTCTCAGCTTCTTCTCTCAATGAAACAATTGAACTTCACCAGAATCACCTGTTTGTCTTTGCTTTTCTCTGTTCAGAGGTTGTTTTTGAAAGGATCAGGCCAAGATGATAAACTACTATGCTACTTTTTCTAGGGCAACTAAAGTTTTATTTTATGCTAACGTCACTCTTTCTTTCTTTTACAGTCACAGAGAAGGAGGTTCAGCAGTGGTGAGTGTGTGTAATTAGTTACTGTCTTGCCTTGTTGTTAGTAAAATAACCTTTGCTTTCATACTTGAGTTCAGCGTTTGTAATGTTTTGCATTTCCAAACGCTGCCTTGTTTTATTTTGCCCAGAAGTTGGTTTTTATGGTTATCCTCCCAGTTCATTTGAAGCCATCTCCCTCACACTGCCCTGAAGACAGACAACTTCTGAAAATAGAACAACTTTGAAGCTTCACTAAGGCTAAAGGACTCTGAAGGCTGATAATACCGATACAAGCATTTCCATGATGCATTCCTTCACAACCGTTATACTCTATTTGTAAAAGGGATGGCAGATAAGAGAGGAATGGTGTGTTTGTGTGTGTGTGTGTGTGTGTGTGTGTGTGGGGGGGGGGGGGGGGGGGGGTTTGCAGAGGTTGCTTTACTTTTAGGCTACATGACCTAAGAACGTGTGCAGAATTGCAGATTAGTAATCCCTCCAGCAGATGTGTTACCTGTTAGTCAGCATAGCCATCATCAGCATCATTCTGCTCAGGTTGAGCCTTTTGTCTGATCCTGTTCGGTGTTTATTCATAAAGCATGAAGGATTTCAGTCAAGAGTTACACAATTCAGTTGAGAGGGTTAAGGTTGCAGGGGATGTTACAGCTGCTTGTAAACTGACAGAACAAATGTTTTTACTACAGATTCAGATATGACAGCAATTCAAGTTTTTCTTTTTTTTGTTCCAATGATCTGCTTAAACAAAGAAGCATGTATATCAGAGGAGACCACTGTAAGGAACTCCTCGTGTTTCCGTGTTAACACTTCAGTTCACCCGCTGTGGTTTTGTGTTACATGACCAAATTCTGCATGCATGAAGAGAGCTTTGACTGGAGAGGTAGTTGCTCTTCTTATCTCCCAGTAAGATCTCCAGAGAGGGAAAGAGCAGGGGCACATTTACAGCCACACAGCAGTAGTGGCAGCAGCATCAGATATCACTGGGCACTGGGAGCTCTAGAGTCTCTGAGGCGGCTTGAGTGCACTTGGGCGGAATAACCCCCCCACACCCCTATTGAACCTCCATCTCGCCGGCTGTGCCGCCTGCTAGCTCACCATCACCATCACTGTCTTTCACAGGACATTTTGCACAAATCCTCACTTGAAGATCATCAGCAGCAATCAACACGGCCGAGTGTGAGGGATGAGAGGGAGTTTTACCAGGGGGAATGCCAGATGGTGTGTAATTAGAGCACAGACACAGACACAGAAGAATTAGCAGGGTTAGCTAAATGCCTGTGTTGTGCATTAAGTTTGTTCTTCATTTTAATTCTCCTCTAAGGGAAGATCATTAGTATGCCTGAAGTCTACCTGAAATCAATAACAACATCCCACAGCTCAGTGAAATTCCTGCCAGGGAGGAAGCAGCTAAGAAAACGTCCTACACAGCTCTTTAGCAGGCCACTGTGGTAGATGCCAGTGATAGGTGGCAAGTGCCAGTCATAAATACTTAATCTGTACACCAGATCACGGCTGTAGCCAGATGCAGTTTGTTCCATGTTTTATTCTGTTACAAGTTGCATTAATACACTACATCAAGTACAGTCTGTCAGTATGACAGTTTGTCCTAATACCAATGTCCCCGCAAAGATCTGCTGGGCATCGTTTGTTCCTGGAGACAAAATGTAATTCTGATTCGGAAACTGCTGTAAAAACATGTTTACAGCCTTATTAGATAACGACATGCGTGATAAATGACCTGCACTTGTATAGCACCTTTCAAAGTCAGAGGACTCCAAAGCGCTTTACATTGTATCATCCATCCATTCTTACACACATTCACACCCTGGTGGTAATGAGCTACAATGCAGCCGCAACTGATCTGAGGCATACTGACAGAGGCTGTCGATCGCTGTCGCCACTGGCCCCTCTGTACACCACCAGCAGGTAAGGTGGGTGTTAAGTGTCTTGCCCAATGACGCAACAGCAGAGTTCGATCCTACATCCCTCCTACTGCTGGACAACCCGTGCTACCTCCTGAGCTACTGCTGCCCCTATATCTTGTAAATCTTTTGATGTATTTATTTAGTTCCTTGCACCTGTACTTATTTAGAATGAATCACTCTAATCAGAACTCAGGTGGCTTCAGAGCAAGAACAAAAATAGTTTTAGGGATTTAGCTGTAGCCGCACATGCTGATCACTTTTATCATTTCAGCTTTTGACACATCACATCATTCAGTCTAAAAATATGTTCCTCTTCAATCATGCATCCTAAAAGTGTTCTTCTTTTTAAATAAAATGCACTGTGTTTATGTAGTTTAGCCTAAAAATGAGGATGTTCTACCAAAAGCTAAAGGCATGTTTGTTTTGTCAGGGATCTCCACAAGAGGGCGCACAACCACACAATGATATGAACAATTGGTTATATTTATTTCATCAAATATAGGTTTACTAAACACAATCCTGCTGTTCTGGTCATCAGATTACACATGGCTGGGTGTTTATTGTTTATGTCCTCACATTTTGTGGTGAGCTAGTTAGCAGGAACAATGCAGCCTTAAAGGATGCATGACTTGTTTACGTTTCTCAACATTTCATGTTCAAAATCTTAGGTTTTACATCCTTTACATGGTTTGGAGAGCAAAGGGTCTCTCTGACCAATTTAGTTTATGAATTTTATAATTAGCATAAAAATAATGTTTAGTTTTTACTGGCTCCCCCACATTTTATTTTCTGTTAACGTGATAACCTGTGATAGCTGTTCGTTATGTTGTGTATTTATAGCAGCAGCTCAACCCTGAACCACTAGAGGCAGAAAGCTGATCACATATGTCCCTTTTTTACTTTATAAAATTATTTTAATGCTTTGCATGTGAAAAAAACAAGAATTATTGCTCATTATCAGTGAAAATTATTGTAAAATGATTTTAAAACATGCAGAATGCCCAATTAAAGATTTAATTTTGTCAAGTTAAGTGGTTCTAATTTAGACAGTTCATCTCATATTTGGATGTCTTGGTCACACGACTTTGCAGTTTTAGATGAGTTTTTTTCCCCCCTCATTTAAAGGAGCATTATGGAAGTTTGACAGCCAAAGCATGTATAGAAATAATAAATTATTCTTCATACATTCTCCTGCAATGCCCTGGTCCTGTAGAATGAGCCCTGGCATTTTTATTGTGATTTCCTATTTTTCTGTAAAATCACAGAAAAAGAGAGCTGCTCGGGTCAAGCAGGCTGCTTCATGCGCGTTCACGCTCAGGCATAGCCCTCCGAACCGCTCTTTGAACGTTGTTTCAGCTTTGATCAAGGATATAAATGTTACAGATGCGGAAGACGCTACTGGCGATTTAGCTTGCCTTGTAAGATTTCGGGCTATCATGCCGAAGACCCGGGATCGATTCTGGATGTGATCATGATTGTTTTAGAGTTTATTTTTTACATTAATGATATATTTTTTTACAGTAAGATGCCCAAATTTTTATTTGAGACTCGCCGAACGGCATTGAATTCACAGATAAAAAAGATGTGGGTTCAACTTTCATTCTGGAACAATTTTTCAAGCAAGGGAAGGGAATGATCTGAGCATGCAGGAAGACTGATCCATCTTAAACCTTTGTCGGCTGTGCTGAAGAGAAAGGTACAGAACCAAATTATTTAATTAATTAGCTGCGCATCCTCCTGTCCTCTGTCCTCCGGGTAGGGCTGGGCGATATGACGATTTTAGACCGTTTTACGATCTACACATCTGACGGTCTGTCATTTTAGAGAGACCTTTTCATCACGATTCACAGCTCTGCTGTTGAATTTCTGCCTCTGAATGAAAAGGGAACTTACCCCAGGCGAATGACACGCCTTTGTTTGACCCTTAACCAATCAGAGTGAGTCATAGTAATATATTAGTGCCCCGCTTGTTTTCGCCTGTGTGTGACATTGCTTTGGCCGCGGCTGAGAGCGACAACGAGGTTTTCGTTCCGAAGAGGAACGCAGGGTTTCCTTAGCACGCGGCGCTAACAACTTAGCAACGTGACATGTTTCGGAGAAAGCGTAAAAACACGTTAGACGCTTCTTCTGAAGCGGGAAAATAACACAAATTCTTAAGCAGAGCACGACGTCGTCTCGGTTCGTTCACCCTCTGCCGAGCCGGACTGAGCTCAGCCACTGGGTCGCTGGAGCTGCCCCGTGACTGCCTGATGGAAAACCAGCGGGTTTCATCAGACTCGTAGTTTCTTGTTTTTGCTGGGGACCCCCTGTATTTTACCGCTTCCTCCTGCAGTCTTCCCCTATTACAATTTAAAATGATTCTGTAAATCCGTGTATCAATAGAAACAATCTCTGCCTCTGCCAGCTGCAGTAAATGTAGTCTCCAAATAATAAGAGGTGCATTCATCTGTGCATCTCCTTTGATCCGCATTAGTGATATTTTCAGCACCAGAACAGTGAAGCAAAGAAAGATTCCTGAGTTGTTAGTAATTTTATTTATTAGGTGCATCTAACCTGTTCTATTTTTCTCTGAAATGAGATCAAATCAGTGCTTCTATGGGTTGTCTCCAATCTGCACTGGAAAATTTTTACTTTATTTAGAGACTTGTTGAAGAAAATATTCAGAATGCGCAGTTTGTTGCTACCACAAGCGATCTCTGGTCCAGCTGCACATCAGAGCCGTATTTGAGCTTAACTATCCACTACATGAGCAACTGGGAGCTACATAGTATTTTGAACAAGTTAATGTTTGCACAATACGTTTGCAATTGACATGTTTGCACTTTAAATATGTTTATGATTTTAATTTATGTTAAGTGACTTGAAAAACGAGAAAAACTGATTTTTGTAATTGTTTCTCTCAGGGCTTTTATCATCTCTGGTGTGAGTTTAAAATATAAGTGTGTTAGCACTGTGTTGATTATCCCTAATATGAATAAATGTTTATTTATTCAATGTTTCTCTTCTTTAATACGCAATTGAAGTTATGCTATTCATGGATAAAAAATCGTGATAAAATATTGGAAAAATCGTGATATTCTATTTTTGCCATATCGCCCAGCCCTACCTCCGGCCCACACACACACACACACACACACACACACACACACACACACACACACACACACACAGGACTGTCTCAGCTGTTATTTTCGTTAAGGAGTGTGCACGTACAGCATGCGCGCCTCGTGCACGAGCCTCCTATTGAAGCTGCCATTACGCTTTTTGCCTGAGGGGGCAATCGCGAGCATAAAAATTCAAAACTCCGTAAAGTCCCTTTAATTGTTGTAGTGAAATTTGTAGAAAAAAAGCCACAATTATTCATCATTTTATCTAAATCATTTACAGTTATGCTGACAATCATATTGCTCAGTAGAAAACAGATGATTGAGCATCCCTGTAACTGGTAATCACACCAAAGATGTGTCAGTAATAGGACAGCAGTTATAGATATAGAACACACATGTTTTATTGCAAAAAATATTTAACATTTTTCAGGTATAAACACATTATTATTATTATTATTATTATTATTATGTGCTCTATCAATCTAAACAGGTGTTATTCATATTTTAATATCAGACGGCGGATTAGCCGAACCCATAAAACAACTGGAGGATTCAGGTAAAGTGGGTCAGCGCTGGATTTTGACGTGCATTGTGTCTTCTGCAGCTTGAATACCAATTAGGTCTTACTTTACATTAAAGCTGGGCTTTCATTTTCCAGCATATCTCCAGATAATTTAAATGTGAGAATTACATGGTTCTGCTGTCTCCTTGCCTTGCTTCTTGTTGGACTCTTTTCTTTTATAGCATCTGCAGCTCTCCGTTTCTCTTACTCTGTAGAGCTGGCTTTATTATCTCCCGCTAAGATTAAAAAGTGTGCATGAAGAAGCTCAGAACTGGCTTTCGTTCTTCATCAGAGCTTTTTTCTTGCCTTAATTATAGCCTAACTTCTTTTTTTTTAACCCCAAGCAGAATCTGAGCTGTACAAGCACTGCTCCCTTGTGTGTAATTGCTTTGCTATTGTAGTTTTTTTCTTCTGCTATTTCCTTCTTGCTCATGTAACATTTAATTTAGTTAAGAATAACACTCATCCTCGCTCCTTGATCTGTTCTTTAGACTCCATGACGATTGTTTTTCCGTTACGAAGGCATTCCAGGAAACCGCCTACCTTTGAGTGACTGTGCTTCAAATTGCTTATGAGATGCTGCTATATATAGGCTTATAGAGATGTTAAGTCGTTCTCGGGATGTGTCATTTCCAGGGCCAAGAGGAAGCTCTCAGACCTATCTATCTATTATACCTAATATCAAAAGAGAAGCAGAGAAGAATTTGATTAGAGTAAACCACCTTTGGCTTGCTATTAGATTAGGGCGATTGCCTTATCTGTAAATGAGACAAATAGCTTTCACCTTCTAGATCTCTGAGTCAGGGATACCTACTGTAGAGGTGAGGAGGTGGCTTCTTGCTTTCGTCACTGCAGGCCACTTGTGTTTTGATTTTATAGTTGCGGTGTAGAAAATGTTATTTTTATACCTCAAAAGATCTCTAAACTAGTTCTGCTTTCCAGGTACAAGGGCTTCATCAAGGACTGTCCAAGTGGGCAGCTGGATGCTGTTGGCTTCCAGAAGATTTATAAACAGTTTTTCCCTTTTGGAGATCCAACAAAGTTTGCTTCATTTGTCTTCAATGTATTTGATGAAAATAAGGTTTGTTATCATGCCTCTTGTTACTTCAGACTCACTATAAATAGTTTCTGTATAATTTTCATTAGGACATTGGGCCAGAGGATACTTTTGAGGGCTACAGCTTCTGTCTGTTGAATTGTAGCTCCAACAAATCATCATTTTTCTGATTAGTTTAAATTCCTTTATTATATACATTATATACCAGCCCCAAGTTAGATTAACTTGAAAATACACTAAACAAAATTTCTGGTCTCAGCAGGCATTTGTTAAGATTGATGCATTTTTTGGGTCCTGGAGATAATTTCTGATGAAATTCTAGAAAATTCCACCTTAAATTCTTAGAATTTTCCTTTATTACAATAAAACAACTTCATAAAGATGTCTGCCTGGGAGAGTGTTCACATTGCAATAGGTTGATTAGGAGTAAGTGGTCACAACACACATATAAAGTCTGTACAGTTTGTTTTTAGTAGTGTAACAGATGTTTGTGTCTGTGTGGGCACATCCCCTAGGGACCCAAGTACATGATGACATGGCAAGTTTTAACAAGGCCAGCCTATACATTGGGCAGAAGAAACCCCCCATCAGCTGCACACAATTATTCTTATTGCGTTTACGTGAACTAACTATAAGTGAGCAGCTCCTGGGTCGTTGGTGAGCCCCTGTAGGTTTACTGATTCCAGATAAGTGGCTTTATGTTGGAAAGATCAGACGATCTCCAAACGTCTGACGTTTATCTGTAGTCTCATTAGCGATAGGCACCCTGTAGCTGGAGAATGCATTGATCTTAACAGTTTTTATGGCTTCTTTAATCGATGGTGCATGACTTCAGGATTTTCTGATCAGGCAGATGTCTGCTAGAGATAAAGTTAGCTGACCTCAAGGGCCTTGAGGCTTTTTTTTCTCAAGGAAATGTAGGAACTCGTTGAGGTGCAGATAGTCAGCTGTTGTAAAAGAATACAGGAAAATCTTTGGAATGACAGGAATTTTTCAAAGATCTGATGCCTTCAGGCAAACTTCTTGATTTTTGAATTCATTTTCGGTGTGAGCGGGTTTCATTTACAGCTGGACGCTGCCTGCTTTTTTATGATGTTGTTGCTTCAGGCCGCTTGATAAATGGTCAGAATATGAGCCACTAGTTGTTGTTTTATTTTTGGTTGTTTTCCATGCCACCAGGCTTTCTTCCACACAAATCATGTCCCCCCCCCCCCCCCCCCCCCCCAAACCCCTCTGAAGGACACAGTTCTTGAATATTCACAGGAAGTTAATGTCAAAAGAATAGTTTCTCCATTGTTTGGACAGAGTTTCAGAGATGGAACATTTGGAAGATACTGGCCACCAGTAAAGACTGGTTATGTCTGTGAAGTCTACGTTTTGGAAAATGAGCCAGTAGCATCGATCTTGCTAATGACTCAAAGTGACGTTTCAGCCTCAGAGAAGGCCAGGTGTGGGGCGAAAATAGCAGTTTCTGTAAATCCATTTAGAGTGAACGGGAACTATGTTAGTCATTTTGAAACAGAAGGGTTTCCTGTCACACTCTGTCTCTCTACAGGATGGACGCATTGAGTTTTCAGAGTTCATCCAGGCCTTGTCAGTGACCTCCAGGGGGACTCTGGATGAGAAGCTTAGATGTAAGATGATGGTCTACGCTTCTTCTTTTGTTTTTGTGAATTGAAGGTTTGATTGTGATGATCCTTAAAGAACAGCAGATTAAACAATAATAATCCAGAAGCTGCAGGGTTTTGCCTTCTGGTTTAAACTTGAAAAAGAAATTAAAAAATGCAACTTTAACAAAGCTTTTAGAATCACAGTAGTCCTCCACACCCATAGTGATAATACATGAGCCAGGTAAAACGTCTCCTTGGTGCACCAAAGCCTGTATTTAACGTTTTGTCTTCATACAGGGGCTTTTAAGCTTTATGATCTCGACAATGACGGCTACATAACTCGTGATGAAATGTTAAACATTGTCGATGCGATTTATCAGATGGTGGTAAGTTTTGGCTACTCCTTTTATTTTTGATCCTTCTCAGCTCTCAGTGAGCTCGGATGTAATTGAATTGTATTTTAGGGGAACACTGTGGAGTTGCCAGAGGAGGAAAACACACCAGAAAAGCGAGTGGACCGTATTTTTGCTATGATGGATAAGGTCAGTATTTAAATATTAAGAAAAGTAAAGTGTCAAAGACAGGAATACTACAGGTCTGTAGCCCATCATGAAACTAGATCTGACATTGCTGTGAGTGAACGGAGAATTATTAGTTTGCCATTTATAGGAATGAATCTGCCTTTGTTGCCACCCATGGGGGAGTTTAATTTGGGCACTGTTATGTTTAGAGCTGTTAAATGTATCCATGTTAGTGTCACTAATACTGCCTGCAGTCTATAAACATGGTTTATAGTCACCTACACCAGCAGCGCAGTGCCCACTCTGTCAGCACAGAGAATCCAATCAGTCTCAGTGAAAGATGAGACGCTGGCTGTATTTGTGTGTTTGGGGTTTTACTGGTGCCAACACTGGCCTGTAGGACTGGTTGTGCAGCTCTCACTCGTTTCTACAAGGACTGCAGCTTCTATCCAAGTTTACTAAGCTGAAAATCAGCCTAAAATAGGAGCTCCATGAGTCTGAGAGCAGCTTTGGCCCCCTGCTGGTGTTTTTAAAGAGCAAGTCACCCCCTACCAGAGTCTAACTCCACTCCCACTTCATGTTTGAAAAATGCAACAAATGCCGTTGCCTGGCAGACCAAGAGGGCGGAGCCGCTAACAAATACACACACACAGACTCACGACAGCATTGTGACATCATAATGTACCAGTTTACATCATAGCATACCTCTTAGCCAATAGCGGTGGCAGATTTAAATTCAAATACAGTGCATAGTTTTTACCTGACAAAGGCACAACACTGACGGTTTTAGGCAGAATATTTAAATTTTAACTAAGATGCACTGAAGTGCCAAATTATTGACTACACGTGTCTGCAGCACGATTAGACACTCGTTTATTTAGTTTATCAGCAAAAAAAAGTTGATTTGGGGGTGACTTGCTCTTTAAGTTAAACTCTTCAGTGTCTTCAGTTTCATGTTGTTTCATGTTGCAGAATTCCGACGGGAAGCTGACACTGCAGGAGTTCCAGGAAGGTTCAAAGGCTGACCCCTCTATTGTTCAAGCACTGTCACTGTATGATGGACTTGTTTAAGATGCCAGGTGAGTAAGGGGGTGGGGTTAATGAGCGACAACGTTTCAAGTCATGCTTTACTTTTATGTTAATAATGTGTACACCCGAGTAAAGCTTAACAAAGACCACAATCTCTGAGCTGAAATGAAAGGATGGAGGCAATTTGTGTTCTCAGTTTGTTTCTATGAATTATTCAAGTGGCCCACTTGTTTACTGGCACTATAACAGTCTTGCAGTGCTGGATGAAGGCTGAGACAGCCATCACATCTCACTGCCTAATGTAGTGCACTTGCTGCTGCCAATTGTTGCTGATGTCCTGCTCAGTGTTCTGTCAACTGTGAAGTGAGGACATAATGTATGTGTTCATAGCAGGGATCTGATCAGATGTTGTCATGCTTCTCTTGAACGCACCTAAACTCACTGTCATCAGGCAGCACAGTAACCCGTTTTACAACTTCTCAGATGGCTCCAGTTCTCCATCCTCCTGCCTCATTACACGCCAATGCAGCACCATCACTTCTGCAATGGGAGGAGGCATTATTTACCCCGATCACCCAAAAGAGGACAACAAATGTTCATCACACGACAAGATGCGTCAAGTAGCTGCTCATCTACAAGCATCTTCTCTGATGTTCCAGTAACACATGCCAACTATCAGTGCTTCTACAGCTATGTAGCACCACCTCCTCTGTGTTGTGGACTGAACATCTCTGAGGCTGTTCTCCTGGACAATCCAAGGATTCCTGCTGAGTTGTTGGTGTGCTTCTTGTCCACACTAGTGAGATGAACTTCTCAGAGGAACTGCTGCTGCTTCATGGAGAGACTTTTAATCCCCAACCTGAACAAGAGTGTTGCTGAGTGATGACATGAACAATAACTTAATGTTACAAGGCAGTATAGTGTGTATTATACCATGTAAATATAATTTATTTTCTGCTTTGCTGCATTTATGAGAATTTCCTCATAAATATGGAATGAATTTTATTTTTATCAAAAGTGTTTTGCACTGCATTTTCCAATTTTATTGTTATTGTTGTTGGATGATTCTTTTGACACATTCTTGACTGAAAAGGGTTTTTAGTTAGAGGGATGCTTCGGTGGCATGGTTTTCTATAGATTTTACTACGTTTGCCATACAGTGCATCCCATTGTGTTCTCTTTTCACTGTTAGCATGAGTGTTGCACAATTACATCCTGAATGGCACGATAAAGCAACACAGCAAACTGTCCCAGCTTTGCATCAGAATTGAGACTTTAGTGTTTCTTTGGCGAGCTCCACTGCCCACCCTCAGCTACACAGAGCTCTGGCTGTAAAGCTTTTGTGAGCGCTGTGGTTGCTAACGTGATGTTTGTTTAGTGTGAGACCAGAGCATGTACTGATGCCTTTTTTCTTACTTAAATCACTTATTTTAAAGCATTTAAATGTTTTATCAGCTTCTATGCCTTATGCAACTTTTAAGTTAATAATGCCATTTACCTGTTTAGTTTAAGAGCACAGAATAAAATGCATTTAAGTGGCTAATATTTCTATTACTGTATTTTTAGTTTTTAGTGATTAGAAGTGTTTCTTTCTCTTTTGTATAGCTGTTTGAATGGGTTTAATAGGCTGCTTTGTAGAATATTTGTTCATTTTTTAATCCCATTGATGTAATGTAAAGACAGCAACCCATAAAAGCAGATGTTTGTGGGAATGGGATCTGGTCCAAGCCTTCCACTGCACTGTGCTCCATCCCTAGTAGTGAAAGGTGTCATATCAAGCTTTAGTGCCTGTTCTGCTTTGCAACACAGAATCTAACACTCCAGCCTAGTCTGTGGCGTGAGTCTGCTCTGTATGGTTGTGTAAGGAACAACATAAAACTGTGAAGTGTTAGCACTGATGGGTGAGTTAATGAGGCGTAGCGGCTTTTTGAGGTTGCTGAGTCTCCTCAGATCATCAAGGACATGGAGCTGATATCAGAAGATGGAACTGTCCAGAGCTTTGACCGGAGACTGTTTTGTCCAATGGTTCTTCTTTTGTATTTGCAGCATGTTGCTGGAACAAGTGCAGTAAAACACAAATGTATTTTGAAGTAAACTGTCAGCTTCTTGTCTCAAAAAGTCTCTGGGTCCCCACCATCTTTGGGAGAAGACAACTAATTATTTGCCTACAAAAACACATTACTTTGATTATCAGTATTTCCTTCAGACCAAGTGTTTATTTCTTGGTGTTGATACAGTTTTTGCATCACACTTAATATAAACATTATTCTTTATAAAAGAGGTTGTTACTGTAAGATGTTGCTCCCTGTCTTCAGCTTCATGTGCACGGAGTTGTTTGGGACTGTGTCACGAGGGGTCCATGCACTGCTAAGAGAAAATCAAACTGTAATGGGGCGCTGGTATTTGAGTCTCCTCACTCGGTGGGGTCGAGTTACACTCAGGCGCATCAAAAGCAGGTTGGGTCTTGGGAACCTTTTAATACCCATCTCCGCCCCGTTTGAAGCGTCAGAGCAGCAGCCCTCCGGGGGATCCCTGCGCGCAGCCAGTCCGCGCGCTCCTCCAAACTTTACGCACGCATGTCCTGTGGAACGACTTAAAACCGGATTTTGATGCGTTTTAACCGAGTTGCGCCGGTCCACAAACTTGTTCTATGTACCCGGGCATCCAAAGGCTTTGAATTAACACTTTTTTTTTTTTACAAAGTTTCTCATTCTTTTACTGTTTTTTATTTAATTTTTGTTTTTTATGTGATTAACCTCATTCCAGCAGACAGATGCGGTAAATATAGGGACTGAAAAGATGACCGGTGCCTTATTGAAGTGCCTCTTGTTGGTGCTCCATGTCAGCGCGCAAGGGCTCTTGGGAGAGTCCTTGTCGCACCCCCGGGTTGACGAGGGCGATGAATCCGATGACAGCGCCTCAACCCTGGCCTTTGTGTTCGACGTGACCGGCTCTATGTACGATGATCTGAAACAGGTGATTGAGGGAGCCTCGCGGATCCTGGAGAAGACTCTCAGCAGAAGAACCAGACCCATCAAAAACTTTGTCCTGGTTCCCTTCCACGACCCAGGTACCATACACAACCTTAGCTTTTCTTTGATTTTTTTTAAAGAATGAGGGTTCAAAGAAACAACATTGATCTAATCAGGCATATAAAGCACACTCCCTTTTCCACAGATTCTGAAACTATCATTTAGTGTTTGTAGTAAAAATTCAGTAAAAGCTACACATTTGAAAAGTAATCCATCCTGTTAGGCAGCACATTTAACCCAAACTGATAATTGTTAGAGTTACAGGTAAACCCCCTCTCCCGGCAGCATCAGTCCTATCTGGTGTGGCTTCAGCTTTCGAATAAGAGTGCTCCAGTCCTGTTTGTGCTCTGATGAGAAGCATATGCTGACTGCTTGTGTGTAATTACCTCAATCACACACACACACACACACACACACACACACACACACACACACACACACACACACACACACACACACACACACACACACACACACACACACACACACACACACACACACACACACACACACTTCTCAGCCTCCGGAAAACCCTCACAACCCCCAGTTTGGATAGCCTGCAGGGGGGCAGATTTAGATGGTGTGGGGCAAACCCCACACATCTTGTCTGTGTTTAATGTGTCCTGCCCTTGGGGACTTTGTAAACTTCCAAGATTGCAAAGAAGCAGCAGTGGCTGACAAACAAGAGTCGTGACAGTGCTGTCAGTGTTTTACAGCCACCCAAGAGGGGGAGGAGGAGGAGGCAAAGACATGAAAGGTGCCTCTTCTTGAAATAAGATTGTGAATGAACACAAACAGTCATCAGCTTGACACACGTCTGCAAGTTCTTCATCATTAATCTCACAAAGATGTGTCAAAATGGGTTTTTGACAGTTGGGAGAACAATCACGGTTGCATGGAAATCACCCCCGCCCTGAACGATGAGGTTCTTCTCTGACTGCGCACATTCTCAGCGTGATTTCTGCTCTTTCTGATTGACCACAGAGGATGTCAGAGTACATGTCAAGTTCTGACAGACTCTTATCCATCACGCTTGCCTCTACTGCTCCTTGAGGCCTGAGGAAGTAAAAATGCTGACAGCAGCAGCAGAAAGGGATTATTTTGTCTTCATTCAAGCTGCCGGTCGTGTTTCAGAGATTTGTTCTAAACAATACTTGACAAATTTGCCACTACATTTGTCTACTGCTGTGTGCAAATTAGATCTCAACCAGAGGCAGCAGGACATCATTCAGGTCCTGATGAATTGGACTCTTATTCATCAGAGATTAGGTTTTGATGCTTGTTTGAAGGATGAGCTGAAAAAAAAATCTTAACCATCAAATTCAGTTTGCTGACAACTACCACAACTGGTGTTCTGATGTGTTTTGAAGGGGAAAAAAAACGGAATCTGTGTTTTAAGATTAAACTATTGTTCGTACATTAAAACAAACTTTTCTGACTTCGTCTAAATTAATTCTATAAAAGAATGTTGACATTTTGAGATATGGATGTATCACTTCACAGATATCGGACCCGTATCCATCACCACCAACCCACAGAAGTTCCAGCAGGATCTACGAGAGCTGTTTGTGCAGGTGAAAACATAAACTGCCCTACATTGCTGAAAAGAACAATTCAGACAAATTTCTTGTAGCTGCTGTAGCGACTTAACCACTCTGGCCTTGGGAATCAATCCCAACAACTCTCTAACAAAGTGGAACAGCAGCAAGAAGTCACTTAACAAACTCAAACATTGTTTTAATTCCTAAAATGATCTGTTCCTTACTTTTTGGTAAGAAATGACACAAATATGAATAACATGTAAAAGGAATATTCGTATTTTCCTACAGTATGTGTTGATGTGGTCTCTGTTGTACAGGGCGGAGGCGATTGCCCTGAGATGAGTATTGGAGCTATAAAGAAAGCCTTGGAGGTTTCTCTGCCTGAATCCTTCATCTATGTCTTCACCGATGCCAGGGCCAAAGACTACCGGCTGAAACGAGAAGTTCTGAGGCTGGTGCAGCTTCGTCAGTCACAGGTAGACCCAACGCTCTCACGCCACTTCATTTAGCCAAAAGTCAAATAACAGCATCAAGCTGCTGATCACGCGTGAGATGGATATCCAGTCCTAAAGCACATTAATGGATGCAGGAACATGTTTTCTAGAGTCTCATAATGATGCTGATACTGTTCAGTTGTTGCTATCAGGAGATCCGAGTGCATGCTGTAGAAAAATAAGACCATTTAAAAGATCTGATGTTTCTTCTTGTTAGGGCATCAGTGGGAGGTTACCTCAGTTCATCCACTTGAAACATCTCTATAAGCTCCATAGTCAAGAGTCAAGTCACAGCACATCCTTGAGAAGCACTGAGGTTAGCAAACCAAATTTCTGCCCCCCTTGTCCCAAAAGGTTGTGTTTGTGTTGACGGGGGACTGCGGGGACCGCTCCCAGCCTGGTTACAGGGCATATGAGGAGATCGCTGCCACCTCGTCTGGACAAATCTTTCACCTGGACAAGCAGCAGGTTAACGAGGTGAGAGCACCAGAGTCAGCTGTAATCCTACCTGATGATCAATAAAACTATTAGTTTTTCTGCACATGTGAGAAGCCAACCTTGTCAGGGCAATAGTTCCTTCTAAAAGTGATGATAATTTCTAAGCTTTATTAATGCTCCGGTCCTCGTCTCAACATGCAGCACTATGGAACAGCTGCCTAGCTCTCTGAAAATGAAAAGAGTCTTTGCACACAAGCAGGAGCGGGTTATTAGATCATGACAGAACATTTTCAGGTAGCTTATTCCTTTACGGTCTTATGTAAACAAGAAACAACAATTAACAGGAAAGGTGGAGTCAGCTCTAAAACAACTGCTCAAGGGAGAACTACAGAGATAAATAAGAGCTTATTTCCAATGTAAAAGAAGACCTTTTGCAGACTTTTAAGTAGCAGTGCACTAATTTTCCAACTGTATGGCTTTTAGTGAGGATTCTTAAGAAATAAATCTCTGCTTCCAAAGTTTAGTCTGAGAAAAGGTCACACATAAACGTCTAAACAAGCCTGCTGCATTTGGCGTTGTTTTGGAAACAAATGCTGCTGGTTTAGTTAGACAAAGAGGTTATATATTTCATTATTGCTTTCTTTTTTTTTGTCATTGTGACACTACAAAGCATGGGGGTCTCAATAATCTTGAAGAATGTCAAATTGGGCTTCCTACCATCTTTTACTCACATATCTATTCATAGCAACATAAATTCTGCCAGCATCTTTTCTGGTTGTCAGTTGTTCATAAGACTGGAGAAAAGCACAAGCGTGAATTCAGTGTATACATTATTAGTCACTTCATTCAGAGTAACCAAGAGATTTCCATCCTGATATTAAACTTCCTGTTCATATGATACGGTCAGTGATTCTTCTATATCAGAAGCAGTGTGTAACAGAAGCCCTGCCTCATAGGCCAAAGACAGCAGGGCTCACTTCCCAGTCAGAGGTAAAAGAAGCCAGAGTTTCCTCTGGAAGAGACACCAGTATCCGACATGTCAACACAGGAGATGGCTGGGCAGCTCTGGGCTCAAGCCAGATACTGTATGCTGGTGGCCCACTGAACCCCTGAACTCACATGGGTTTATGTGTGTGTGTGTGTGTGTGTGTGTGTGTGTGTGTGTGTGTGTGTGTGTGTGTGTGTGTGTGTGTGTGTGTGTGTGTGTGTGTGTGTGTGTGTGTGTGTGTGTGTGTGTGTGGGTCTGTTTCCTGTCAGATCATGCTTGTACATGGTGAAGTGTGCGTTGTTTGTGTTTAGAGCAGCTTAGTTGATTTTCACACCATAATCCTGCCAGCTGTTTAACGAAAGTTTTAATGTCATTTTTCTGACTTAGACTGAATGAAGTCACACACCAGAATGCCAGATGCCTGAAGTATGTCTGCATACCCTAAAGCGTAGCGTTACACATAAATACATCTTGGTTTATTTCAGGCTTGTCCAAAATGCTGCCTGCGGGCCATTTGCTGGCCCTCAGAGTAATTTTGTGTGGCCCCATGGTGGAACTGTGTCTTCTCAGCAGGCTTTTTAACATTTCTGTGCTCAGAATTTGACAAATATGTGTATTTTAGCCCTGTTTTGCATAGTAAAAAACAAACAATAACATCATAAAATATATTTTGCATTTAAATAGAAAATATCACATTTGTGTGGCCAGAGTGGACTCATGTTTGGATACCTCTATTTATTATATATTTTTGAAATTGCGTGATTATAAGTTTTGAGTGGCACACCTTCATGAAGCAAATCTAAACATTTCTCTCTCTCTAACAATATGAAGCTAACTCAGAGATACAGCCGTTTTTCTTGGAGGAGTGGAGAAAAACAGACCACATACTGTATTTTCTAATCCCAGGATGTGATCTGTAATGGCTCCACTCCTTCCAGCACAGCTGCCTGGTGGCATTGGCTCCAACTTCTCACACAACAGCTCATTGTCATCTCTGCATAGCAGGCTCTTTTACATATAAAGGGTTATGATTTGAAATGGAATGAGTTAACAAAAAGTGTGGATAAAAAAAGACAAACACGTGAATGCACCGTCCAGCTCTTTATAGTGAATCCAAACATGTTTGTTTAGAGCTTACAGCGCTGATCAGAAAGGATGACTGATTTTTTTCTGGCTTCTACATAATGAAAGCTGCCGGTGGGAGAAAAGAACATTAACAATGGGGATTCAGGTATACAACTATTATTTATTAATAATTAAATATTTAGACTCATATTATTTACTTTTCACATAGAACAACAAAAACAGCTAAAATGTTTGTACATTCCAGTAAATAATCTTCAAAATAGATTCATTTATGCCATTTACATTTACAAGTGAAACTACAAAAATTACAATATGATTAAAAAGTTCATTTATTTCAGTAATTCAACTTAAAAGGTGAAACTAATATATGAGATATAATAATTACCTGCAAAGCCAGACATTTCATGCCTTAGAGGGCTTACAGCTGATGAAAACCCAAATTCTAAATCTCAGACAATTAGAATATTGTGAAAAGGATCAATATTCTAGACTCAAAGTGCCACACTCTAATCAGTCAATGAATCCAGATCACTGCAGAAGGTTCCTGAGCCTTTAAAGGGACACCATGCTTTTAGCACCTCTATGTCCCATACTAATTCCCAGTTATAAAAATGATGGTGAAACTCTTCACCTCGCTGTGCGTTCGCTTTTTTATCCCCTTAATCTAACTGCTGAAATGTCTCCTTGACCTTCATTAGTTCCTACTGGAGTAATTCATCACTAACTGAAACAAATCAGCTGTGTTCACGACCTAAAACATGCAGGAATCATGTGCTGGAAGCAGACTCCAGTGCTAGCATGTCGACTCCACTTTACTAAGACTGACAGGGAGCAATATTACATAAGATATAAAGGGACATACACCTTCTAGAAAGTTGCTTTCCTTTCCTTTCCTTTCCTTTCCATCCACCCATCTATTTTTCTTTACCCACTTATCCACGCTGGGTCACGGGGGGGCTGGTGTCTCTCTCCAGCATTCTTCGGGCATGCAGACGAGGTACTCAGATTGACAGTCCGTTGCAGGGCAACACAAAGACACACAGGACAAACAACCAAGCACACACACACACACACACACACACACACACACACACACACACACACACACACACACACACACACACACACACACACACACGCGCGCGCACACACACACACACCTAAGGACAATTTAGAAAGACTAATCAACCTGACATTTATATTTTGGACTGTGGGAGGAAGCTTCCAGAAGAACCCGGAGAGAACCCATTCGTGCACAGGAACATGCAAACTCCTTGCAGAAAGACCCCAGGCCAGGGTGCAAACCCAGGACCTCCGTGCTTGAGGGGCGACGGTGGCACATGAGTTAAGTGCTCGCCCCGTAATCGGAAGGTTGCAGGTTCGAGTCCCACTCAGTCTGTCGCTGTCGTTGTGTCCTTGGGCAAGACATTTAACCCACGTTGCCTGCTGGTGGTGGTCGGAAGGACTGGTGGCGCCAGTGCTCGGCAGCCTCACCTCTGTCAGTGCGCCCCAGGGCAGCTGTGGCTACATCGCAGCTCATCCCCACCAGTGTGTGAATGTGTGTGTGAACGGGTGAATGACTGATTGTGTTGTAAAGCGCCTTGGGGGGTTCCATGACTCTAGAAGGCGCTATATCAAATACAGGCCATTTGCTGCAAGGCAACAGAACTAACTAGTGTGCCACTGTACAGCCTTTTAACCTTTGAGTCTACAGAATACTTTTCAAAATATTTTGAACATCTTTGAGGTGTTTCTGACAAATATGACACATATCCTTGTGTTCTTGTTGGTCACCAGAGGTTTTAACCACAAAACCCTCCCATGGATGACATTTTTGCCCCTTTTCTCCATCTAGTTGGATCATGACCTCTGACCTTATCCAAAAATTGGCTAAACTTGCATTGCTTTATATTTGATTATAATTTCTTTTGTTCTTGAATTTCTTAATAAAGGGTACACGAAATGTTGCTATTGTGATTGTTTACCCTATACTGCCAGGCAGGTTCTGGTAAAGGTCGGACAATATTCAGGCCTTGTGTGATTGTTGAAGCTGAACTCAGCTTTCTAAATAATTTGGTTAATCATCACAGATAATTCATGGTTTAATATGGGGGTCAATTACTTGTTCATAATGAGTCAGGTTTCCTTAACATATGAACTCTTCAAACACACATTTTGTACTTGTTCAGGTTTTCTTTGTCTGGTATTTATTTATTTTTTGGTCAGAAATATTTAAGTTTGACAAAAAAGGCAAAAACAGAAGAAATCAGTAGGGGGCAGATAGTTTTTCACAGCACAGTATCAATTATTTTGCTGTCATATGAGCAATCCAAGCATTGCACATTTTGTGAGTTTTAGTAGAAGTATTTTTGTTTTTCTATCTACAAGGTGCATGCATTTGTGCAGAGCCTATTCCTTCTGCTTTCCTCATTATGTGTATTCAGTGGTGAGTAAAAGGGGTGGTAATGGTTCTCAAGCATAAAGTAAAACAGGTATCATCCATCCTTGGTCGTCTGCCTGAGTTTCCAACACAGATGCATCTCCTATGATGTAGCTTCTTCCCTCTACCTTCCGACAGCAAGGGGCCTGAGAGTGGAAACTCCCACTGAGAAGGATCAGGGGACCCATCTGGTGCGGTCCACTCCATTTGGTGTGGGACATTTTTCTGCAAATGTCTGTGGTTGCAGTGTTTAAACCTGGGTAAAGACTAAACCGACCCACTGGGATGTCTGGATTCAGGCTGCATAATGACAGCTTGGGCTTATATTTTTTCTGTTCAGGTAACTTCCCTGGATGAGTTAGAGAGTTTAACATCACTTCGGCTTCTGCTGCTTCTCCTCTACCGGCCCATCTGTTACTCTATGAATAGCAGAGGGGAGTCCTTCCTGTCTGAGACAGACAGGATGGGGTTTCACCGGACTTTAGATCATCTGCCCTCCTGGTGTTTGAAACAGGGAGTGGCTGCAGAGCTCAGCATGCTCCTCCAGATTCACAGCAGCCCCGGACGGCGAGTTCTCCCTATCTCTGTGTTTCACTTCCTTTTATCTGGGTTCTGAGAGCAGATTACAGCCCCACTCCTCTTCTCTGCCTTGCACAAAGAATAAACATTATCCTGGGGCAGATGTAGGACTCTTCGTAGCAGTTTCCTGCGCTGCTGGTGATGGCTGCACATGTGGCAGACATTACAGCTGTTTCCAGTTGTAAAAATGCTAAAGGGAACAGCTGCTGTCAGCACTCGGTGGGATTGATGCACAAAAAAGTGGAAGTCTGATAATTAAATTAAAGGCCTTTCTTGTTTCTTTCTTTTGTAATTGTCCTAAAATGTGTTGCTGTTGGCCCTAACTCCTAAGGGTCCTGATGAAGAAACGTCTTTACTTTGATTCATTACAGAAGTCGCTCGATCGCTGCACATCCTCACATGAGGTCAAAACAAATAGACCAGTATTGCTTGTTAAGCACTCAGAAGACGGAATACACTGGGTCTGCTGTGGCTGCTGAAACAAGCTTCTATGAAACGTGCTTCTTTTCTCTTTATTTCAGAGGAAACGAAGGGAAGCTGGAATCAACACCACGATAATGATTATACATAGAGTCAAGCAGCTGTCAAAACTGAAAGCCTATATTGTCAGACATGTCTCCTGAGAGCCACTGAGAGACTTAAAATTCTAAGTAATAACTGTTTTTCCCATTAAGTATAATCAGCCTGTCTGTGGTTATTTCATGTTTTGTCTTGATCTTTGCTGGGAGTGTTGGGGTGACCAACCTGTGTCACTGTCTGACATCATCCAGGTTTCTTAAATTTAACCTGTTTCTCAGAGGAAAAAGAGTTATCTTTGGTCTGGATTATGCAGTTTAATTTACAATTTAAAACTTAAGTTTGTCTCCTAAAACTCAGCCAACCACACCGCCCCCACATCCACCAGTTCTGTCTGTTCTGAGGAAAAAGCCGTGTGATTCATGAAAGCTGTGCCGTGGCAGCGAGACTGCCGCCTGACAAACTTCCACTGTGAGAGACACTCTTCTGGGAATATATGCTTGAGAGTGCAGAAAACTGTATGTTATCAGTTTGACAGCTGAGCAGTTTCACTTGGTCTTGTTTAGGCAAATTCCCTCTGTGGAATACTTCAACAATGAAAGAAAAAGACAAAGACAAAGAGCAGAGATGGAAGGGCTTTTTTCATAAGAAGGTCACATTAGAGTCCCTTCTGTCCTGTACTGTCTTTCCAAGTAAAGAAGGGTCCCCTTCGGTTGTCTCATGCACTCATGAATGTGTCTTCTATGTGAAATGTTGGTTTTTTGGGTTATGTGACACTGATTTGCTTCTTCCAGGTTTTGAAGTGGGTAGAAGAGACAGTTCAGGCGATGAAAGTCCACCTGCTGTCTTCCAACCACGACAGTGCCCAGGAAAACAAATGGGAAGTGCCCTTTGACCCCAGCCTCAGAGAGGTCACAGTGTCACTCAGTGGTCCGGCGCCACAGATCGAGCTCAGCGATCCACTTGGTTGTCACACAGTTTTCTATTTCAGTCTTCTTATACATTGAAAGCGCTTTTTTGATTTCGGTAAATAACTTCTGTTGCCTGTTTTTTTCCAAAGGTCGGGTGGTCGGTGTGGATCAGGGCCTCACAGAGCTGTTAAATATTCCCAACTCTGCTCGTGTCATCAACCTTAAGTTTCCCAGACCCGGATCCTGGAAACTCAAAGTACTTCTCCTGTTGATAATTCATAAAACTGTTTATTTGACTCTTGTGATGCCTAGCTGAATGAACTTTATTTTTAAAGGCGAGCTGCAGTGGGCGACATACTCTGAGGGTCACAGGGGTCAGCAGTCTAGACTTTCGGGCTGGTTTTTCTACTGTACCCGTCACTGAGTTCAACCACACTAGAGAAAGACCAATTAAAGGTGCCGACAGGTTTCTGTTAACTTCCTAAATATGATTTAACAAACAGTGAGCTGAATATTTCCTTACTACGCAGGACTTCCAGCCCATGTTATGCTAAAATGCACAGGCCTGAAGCCTCCAGGTGTTCTCAGCCAGGTAGAGCTGATGTCAGGCTCAGGTCGCTCCTTACGTACCATCCCAGTACCTCTGCCCTCTGACCTTGGCCAACAAGGGCTGTGGATTCTCCCGGAGTTCCGTACCCCTCCACAGAGCTTCTTCATCAAGGTAACAGGAAATGACGAGACGGGCTTCCGCTTCCAGAGGCTGTCCACGGTTTCCTACACCAACATCGTTCCAGGCAAGGCAGCAAGCATGCTCCCTCACCACACCACAGCCACTCTGCAGGGTTTCTTGCACCTCATCAATCTCTGCTGTACACTTTAACCTTTGTTTCCTCCCTTGTGTAGATCTCCCAGTTGTGAGAATGCCTGATGTGGTGAGAGGCTTTTACATGCAGCCAGCTGTGATTGGCTGCTCCGTGCAGAGCGACATTCCCTACAGGCTACGGTTCGCCAGAAGTGGGATCGCACTAGGAGAGGAGAAGCTCTTTCAGTGAGTCCTTGCTTTGCATTCTGTATAATTTGTCTCACCTTCGTTAGGCTGCCTTCAGATGTTGCAGCTTCAAGCACCCGTGACCCGCTGTAAAGAAACAAATGAAGCTGCTCACTACTGTCACCAGTGAGCTTGTCTGTAATGCATTTCTGCTGCCTGACTCGTGCTTTTTATTGGCTCATCTGTCGAGGTAGGGTATACGCAGTCACTTTTGTGAACATGACATATTCAAGTGTGTCATCTTGAAAAATTAACAAGCACTGATTTTCTTTCCCACTGTTGATAATCTGCTTTGAATTAGCTGACTTTTGATGAAAACTATGTGCATACACCCCAACCCCCCAAAGTACTAATTAGACGGACTAAGAAATTACATCCTGACACTGAAGTCACACTTCATCCTGCCTCATGGTTTTGTGCATCAGGAATTCTGCTGCTGCATCATGGGAGATTGCACATGCTTCTGGTGAGGATGAGGGGTCATATGAGTGCATAGCACAGAGCAGCGTAGGGCAAGGACGGGCCTTCACACAGCTCACTGTTCAAGGTTAGTCTCTCTCTCTCTCTCTCACACACACACACACACACACACACACACACACACACACACACGCACACACACACACGCACGCACGCACGCACGCACGCACACACACACACACACACACACACACACACACACACACACGTTCATGTCTAAAAACATCATCCAGAGCATGCCAGCGTAAACATTTGGTTTGAAAGGTAGTTCTGTTTGCTCACTTCTGATAACTACAGATGGATGTTTTGCTGTTGTGTCCACAAAAACAGAGCCTCCTCCGGCCTTGAAGCCTGGAGCGAATGTGACTTCCTCTATAGGTGGAGTGGCTGTACTTTCCTGTCAGGTGGAGGGCTCCATGCGCCATAACCTGACATGGCATCGGGCAGGTCGTGCTGTTCGGGCCCGTGCTGGGAGGGTGAGGCTCCTTGCTGACTCGTCCCTGCAGATCACCGGGGTACAGGCTGAGGACGCCGGCGCGTACCACTGTGTAGCTACCAACACCCATGGGGACAGCAGAATCACGGTGTGGCTTCTTGTCCCAGGTATAGTCGGGCATTACCAGCGCAGATCATCTGCTTAAGCACTTAACACGCAGGAGCCTCATGCTCCTCTCGGGCCCCTGACATCTGGTTTCCATTACTGCCTTCACCTCCTCACGATCAGGTTTGAGCTACTTCCTCCAAAACCGATGCCTGATGAAAAATGCGTCTTGTTGTTGGCATGATCTCACTGCGTTTTGTAAACAGCCAAGTAAATTAAACTTGTCCTCACCGATGATCTCAGACTGAGCTAACTAACTGCTTCAAGCCTACTGTTGTTAATCTCATCATAGTGAAGCTATAAATGACATCATGCCGCTTCGAGAAAGCCTTGAGTCACCGTTGATGCTTTTTGTTTTTTGCTTGTACTTGACTCCATTCACAGAGGCTCCTTCTGTAGTTGTTCACCCCCAGACCCAGTTGTTCTCCCGAGGGGACGAGATCCGCTTCGTCTGCTCAGCGTCCGGTTCCCCCCCTCCACAGCTCTTCTGGAGCCGTGGAAACATGTTTCTGGCTAATCAGCCGAGGTAAGGGAACTCTCAGCCCACTCAGCACCTCCGGCACAGAGGACTCGGAGAATCATTATGGCCCACATTTACTGCATGCACAATTGCAATGTCTTGTTTGCTTTGCTTTGGAAAATTAAGTCTGCTGATTTAAAATCTGTAGTCCAAACTAACTTTTGGATGTTCTAAAGAAAAATGTCCCAACAAAAACAAACAATAAAATACAAAGAAGAACAATTCAAGCATGTTTGTGAAACATGAAATTCTTAATGGTTTGATGCAGGTGGAGTGTAGGCCAGAATGGAGTTCTGACCATTAGAGGGGCTCTTCCAGAGGACGCTGGGAACTACACTTGCCTGGCAACCAATGAGGCTGGGAGTTCCTCTCAGTCTGCATCACTAACTTATTCAGGTAATGTCTACAGCTGTTTGCAGGATGATACCAATGCAAAGGCATGCTGCTGTAATGTGCCTTTCATCGGTCTGTTTATTGGAAGTTTTAAATACTGACACCATCTTTAAGAAGTGTGACCACACACCGATCCAACACATTTAGATATTGTTTTGTCATGTCGAGTGCTGACAGTTTGATATGTAAAGCTTCAGTCAGAGCTGTCAGTCTTTGCTTGGCCAACACCCTAACATAGATGGGCTGTGGCAGCCTCTTCCTGAGGCGAGCTGGTTTTATACTCCCATCTGACTCCGAATGCCATTTTTAACACTGATCTGTCAAGTCAGTCAAAACTGAGTACGATAGTCTGCCAATCCAGCTCAGCTGTTGGTGTGTGGCATGTACTTTAATTTAGTTAATGCTTTGATTTTTACATCTTAGCAGTTTGTGGTTTAAGATGTTGCATTACTTTGGTTTATTGTCATGTGCTTTTATTATCTGCTGGGTAGAGAAATTAAAGCATAAATTAATTTTGGCAAAATATCTCATGAATCAGGACTGATTAGAATAAAACTCAGTGAAGATCGATGGTTACGTATTGTATTCCCAGGTTCTATGAGTATAGGCGCAGCTCTTTAAGGCATGCTATCGGGTAGTCAATCAACCCCCCAATTGCAATAGTGGTAGTGTCCGCCCTGGGACTGGGAGATCCAGGTTCAAATCCTGGTCGGGTCATACAAAAGACTTTAAAAATGGAACCCAATGCCTCCCTGCTTGGCACTCAGCTTTAAGGGGCTGGATTGGGGGGTAAAACCACTAAATAGTTCCCGAGCGTGGCCACAGCTGCAGCTCATCGCTCCCCATGGGAATGGTTCAAATGTGGAAATGTCATTTCACCAGTGTGTGATAATGGCTATGGGACTTTAACTTTAAATGGCTGCACCTATACAAAACAGAAATTTGCTGGATGTACACTTGTTCCGATAAGCTTTTACACCCTGGTGGAGTTTTAGATTTATTTGTTTTTTTGCCACTTTTCAAAGAATGTGAATTAATGCAAACACAAAAACCTTTTTTCACTTGAGGATAGTGATATTGTGAAGCCATTCATTGTAAAAAAATAAAAATGTGTGAACTCATTTCAACTCACCATAACAAAATAAATACCAAAGCAACTCTGTCGAAAAGTTTACCCCAGTGATTTTGGCCTGAAACATGCATAAACTTGACACAAATGGGTTTGAATGCTGCTAAAGGTAAACATCCTCACCTGTGATCTTTTTCCCTGATATCAGTGTGAAAAGTTATGACGTTTCCAATTTTTGAGTTGTGGGGAAAGCAAAAATAATTGTCACAAGATCTACGAGAAAAGAAAACTCTATATAACAGAAAGGTGATACTGACAACACCAGTCAGCATTGTTACAACTCTGATAAAGAAGAGGAAAATCAGGAGTTCTGTTGAAACCAAACGTCAGGTAGACCAACAACACTTTCTGCAACAACTTGCATGAAAATTGTTTCCAATGCAAAGACAAATGGGCTACAAGGCTGAGATGCCAGAAGAAAGCCATTACTACACAAATGCCACAAAGCATCTCACTTACACAATGCCAAACAGCCTCAACATTTCTGGAACAAAATCATTTGAAGTGATAAGACCAAAATTGAACTTTTTGGCCACAACCATTAACATTTGGAGAGGAGTCAACAAGACCTTTGATGAAAGTGCACCATTCCTACTGTGAAATAAGGAGGTGATGGCTTGGGGATGTGTGAGTTACCAAAATACTGGAAATCTGGTCACAACTGATTGCAAGTTGAATGTAGCAGCTTCAAAATGCTGGAGGAGAATTTGCGCTCATGAATCCGAAAGCTGTGCACGGGTCACACTCGGGCGTTTCAACAAGACAATGATCCAAAACACAAAGCCAAGTGGATCTGTCACTGGCTCCAGCAGAATAAATTAAAAGTTCTAGAGTGGACATCTCAGTCTCCTGACCTCAGTATCATCAAACCACCGTGGGGAGAGCTCAAACTTCCTGTTCATGACAGACAGCCAGTGAATTTACTGGAACTGGAAACTTTTTCTATAAAGATTGGTTCTGCTTTACCATTAGAATATATACAGAACCTTCCCCACAATGACCACAAAAGACTCCAAGCTGTCAGTGATGCTAAAAGGGGCAACACATGGGATTAGGAACTGGGTAGTGTAAATGCTTTGACAGGGCCATTTAGGTATTTTATTTTGTTATGGTGATTTGAAATGAGTTCACACATTTTATTCAGAATTGGCAACATCCCTACCATGAGTGAAAAAAAGTTTTATTCTTTAAGAAATGGCCAAAAATAAAAAATGGTTAATGGCTTGTATTTGTTTAGCGTCTTCTTAGGGTTCTACAACCCCCCCCCCCCCCCAAAGTGCTTCACAACACAATCAGTTACACACATTCCCACACGCATTCACACGCTGGTGGGGATGAGCTGTGATGTAATCACAGCTGGCCTGGGGTGCAGTGACAGAAGCGAGGCCTGCCAATTACTGGCACCACCAGTCCCTTCAACCACCACCAACAGGGTTAAATGTCTTGCCCAAGGACACAACAGCAGCATTCTCTGGTGGAAGCTGGTATCAAACCTGCAAACTTCCAATTACACAGCAGATGCAGCAGCCTAAGCAGAGAGGGCCCGACTTCCCCTCCCCAGCCACTTGTGTCAGCTCCCCGGGGGGGGGGGGGGGGGGGGGGGGGAAATCCTAAGGCAACCCACCAAGAAACATAGTCCCTCCAGCTTGTCCTGGGTCTTCTTTTATGTCTCCTCCTGGCTTGACGTGCCCAGAAAACCTCATCAGGGAGGCGTGCAGAAGGCATCCCAATCAAAAGCCCGAGCCTCCTCAACTGGCTTCTCTTGATGTGGAGGAGCAGCAGATCTACTCCAAGCCCCTTCTGGACCTACATGCACTTTGAGAAGCCATTCTACCATTCAGTCAGTTTTACAGATACAAAACCAAATTGACATCTGTTAGTAGTGATGAGTGATTCCAGACTCTTGAGTGCTAACAGACTGTCCAAGACCTTGTGAAATCATGTCAGATTGAACTCAGTGTTTTCAAGGTTTCAACAAAACAACTAGACTTTGACAAACATTGGTAGTTTAAGATTCTTACATGAAGTTGATATGCATCCCTTGAAGTATTTTGCAACACTATTATGCTTCTTATCCACAGAGGTGCCGAGAATAACGGTGACTCAGCAGGTCGTACTTGTGTCTGTTGGCGGTGATGCCACTCTAGAGTGCCAGGCAGCAGGTGTTCCTCCTCCTCTTGTCCACTGGCTCAAAGGTCAGTTATGTTCAAACTAATCAAAATGACAGAGACAATATCCTTGCTGTAAAGCACTATTCTCACTTCGTATATTGTCTCAGGTGAGCTTGAGGTGGGGTCTGCTCCTTTTGTGGAGCAGGATGAACACAGGGGTACATTAAAAATTCGAGGGGTGCAGGAGCTTGATGCCGGCCAGTATACCTGTGTTGCAAGAAGCTCTGCTGGATCCTCCAGTGGCACTATCAGTCTGGAGGTTGGAGGTAGGACCTTATGTCTATTCTGCATGAAACATGTTTTTCTCCCAAACCCTTTCAAAGTAACGTTCATCTTGTGCCACTTACACAATCACAGCGAGCCCGTTGTTTTTGGAGGCACCAGTTGACGTGACAGCTAATGTTGGGGAGAATATCACTCTCCGCTGCATCGCCCGAGGATTCCCGCAACCAACTGTGACCTGGCACAGAAAGGACGGCAGACAGATTCCTGCAAGGACAGAAATCCACACCAAGACAACAGAGAGAGAGAGAGGAGAGCTTTTGATTCAGAGTGAGTTTTCCATGAATCCCTTTTATAACAGAGCTTTGGTCTTCAGCGTAATGTTACACAGCTTCATGGTTTACTTACACTGACTGGCGGATTCAAACATTCATAGTGAGTCTTTATAGAGGAGAAGCAGACGTTCATATCAGATTCAGCTTTTACTTCTGTAAAGGGGGGAACAGGAAATCACTGCAAGTGCTAGAATTTACAGTATGTGAAGTCACCTTATATGGCCTGGACGAGCTGCAGGAGTGTTGTTTTGTTTGACTTCCCATTAAGGCTCAATAAATATAAGTTGTGACCTATCAGCCTGAAATCTTTGTAATAGTGGTGGCTGTGATTCTATTGTGCTGATGGGATTAAGCGTTTGTACTGTCTAATGAAAAACCAAAATGGATCGGGCATTTTTAAGCTGCTTCTGTCACAGTTTCCACTTGTGGCTGCCGTCTGATCTAATGAATTCAGTCCGTAACACATGGCTCTGGTTTCTACCTGCTATTGTTTCACATCATGTCATTGTCCACGCTGTGCAACACATAAATGCACAAGCCTTTGTCGCCGTGTTTTTGATTTGAAGCTTTTTCTATTTGCTTTTATGTCTCTAATGCTTATGTCATTACCTCTTATAATCATTGCCTGATTAGCTTCACACAAGAATTCAATTATAGGTCAGTCTTCCTACATATGATGTCCAGGGAATTCACAGAGGGGGAAATGTGTGTCAGCTGGTTGGAAGCTGAGCCAAACCCATCAATCCTGTTTTTTCTTTTTTCTTTTCTATTTTTAAACTCATGAGCCGTCAGAGCCGTCAAACCAATAATACCAATAATTATTGAGGAAATAACTTAACTGCTATTAGCGGGGGCTTAATATGCTACACGAGAGTTTTCCTAGTATGAGTGTGTGTGGAGTTGCTTTGGTCCCACTTGTGTTGTGTTTCCATTTTGCAAGATGTCTGGCTGCACGATGAAGGGGTTTACATCTGTGAGGCCAAAAACCAGTTTGGAGCCATCAAAGCTGAAGCCAGAGTTAGTGTTACTGGACTGGGTAAGTTTACCTGCTCTTTAAGGGTCTTAAAAACAAAAACATCCCGTTATAACTGAGAAGTGGCCTTATTAAACATCAACTTCTCTTTCAGAGCCTCCTGTCTTGGCCCAAGCTGCTCCGATCATCACCACTGGCATCGGTCAGTCCATCAGCATTCCCTGCATGCTGCTGGATGGCATACCTCTTCCAGAAAGACACTGGTCCAAAAACGGAAGACCCGTAAGCCTGTCTGCTTTAAAATGCCCTATCAATGCTGTGCTCCTTCGTTTTGGAATAATACAACTTTTTTTTTTTTCATGAACAGGTTCAGCTCAGTGGGAGAACGTTTTTACGGAGCGATGGTAGCTTGTACATTGAAAGAGCCACCATAGAAGACACAGGGACTTATGTTTGCACTGCGGTGAATGTAGCAGGCTCCACAAACATCACAGTCAGCGTGGAGATCCAGGGTAGGATAATAATGAAATAGTGAAAGGTTTAGAGAGCACACGTTCCCTACAGTCACTTTTATTTTGAAACTGAACTCAGCAGGTGTTTAAGTAGCTTAGGATGAAAAATGGAAGCTGAGCTATTTTGGAAACCACTAGTTGTGGTCAGTAATATGATCTTTTAGCACATTTCACTCTGTGTGCGGAGACACGACAGCAGACAGGAATCCAGTCTGCACTAAAACAATGTCTGATTGAGTAAAATTGAAAAATGTTTGCATAACTGTTGGTTCTTAGCATGAGTTTATTGAACACATTTTGAATTACCTGGTAAATAAACTACAAATTGACACATTTACCAAAGAAAAATGGCTCAAACAACAACACTTTTCCACTGAAACACCAAACTCTGGGTGTCAAACAAACCCAATGACACCAGTTAAAGGGAAAATACAAAAATGAACCAAACTCAGCCTCCAAAAATGTGCTTGTTTACCAAATATATATAATTATAACCTAATTGCTCCATTTTGAAAGAGAAACATAAATTATGTGTAAATTGTTCCCACATTTTTCATGTTCGCTCAACAAGTTGTTTTCCGGAGTGACTATTTCAATGGTAATATACTCCACCATCTTATATCATGCATGACATTGAAATATAAAACTGAGGACTGAGCAATAAATCCCTTTTCCTAAAGTTTCAAAGAATTCCTTCGAGCCTTCTTATTTCTAGACACTGGCAGACTACAAAATACAATTCTGGAAAGAAGTCTAGCAAAAAGCAACATGTGAATGATTCAACCATCTGTTGTCATCACAGAGAGGAGGTTCATTTGCTGCATGTTTTGATGAATGAGGTCATTTTGCTTGTAGGCTCTCAAATGACAGACAAGACAGATTATAATTCATCACCATCTTGTGATGAAGACGCTTCACATGCTGCTGGCAGGGTTTAGCCAGTAATAATGCTGCAGACAGTTTCCTCATGGTCAGACAGATTTGTTTTACAATCTCCTTCTTCTACAGTCCCCCCACAGATCAGTCCTGGTCCGTATCACTACATAGCCAATGAGGGCACAGACACATCGCTGTCGTGTGAGGCCAGTGGAGTTCCCAAGCCAGATGTTGTTTGGTCCAAGGTAGGAAGTCACACTTACATCACAAATCTACTTTTATGAATGGCTACTGATGTTGCACCCCGCATACGTTCATGTAGCTAGCTCAGATTCACACTGACTTATGTTATGTTCAGACATTTGGCTCAGAAAACTCAGTGGGAACCAAACAAATCAGCTGATCGAAAAATATTTCCTATTGTTCTTTCCCCTAAAGTACTACATTTCTCCTGCACCATCGGAAGAATTTTAAGAAAACCTAAAAACTAAATGTGGGATGCACACACACACACACACACACACACACACACACACACACACACACACACACACACACACACACACATACACACACACACACACACACACACACACACACACACACACACACACACACACATACACACACACACACACACACACACACACACACACACACACACACACACACACACACACACACACACACACACACCATTTTACCTTTAGGCTTGGTTTTTTTAATACTGTAATCAAGTTTACAAAGTTTTCGAAATGTGACCAAAACAGGATTCAATAAGAATCAAAATATTCAGTAAAAGCCTTTTCACACAGCAGGCATGCTTGGACCAGCTTTGACTCTTCCAACTAAGTTTGCGCATGATTACTGTAATGGCTCTAAAGATAATCTTATCAGATAATCCTACCTACACATAATCAGACAATTTAAACATCCTGCCTTGTGAGAGGTTAGTTGTGGGTGCGGCCTGGGGGGAAAAGTTGCACCAGGAACAGAAGGACCAAGGGAAACAGAAGAGCTTTAGGAGTGGAGTTCAACCAAACAGTTGATGGTGAACAGTGGAAAAAACTGACTCTGAGGCAGAGATGGAAGGTGCTGTGCACAGGTGAGGTAGAGAGACCAGTCAAGCATAGCTCAGGGGGGCTGAGTAAAGGAGCTGAAGGGCAAAGCTAAAAATGAACCAAATAAACAGCAGAAATTGATATAAAGAGCTTTAAACTCATCCTTCTGATCATGAAACTCCAGCATGGAAGATGACAGCTGCTATGCACTCCCTTAAGGATCACTTTGGCTTTTACTTTTATTTGTAATTACCACACTCATTAAAATACTTCATCTCACCTTTTAAACCAACAGTCGTTAATGTGGAAGGTGTTAGTGTTGGGCTTTACAAGCTCTCCAGGGTTACCTGCACACCATTTTACACAAGAGCCATTAAAGTAACCATGACTGCATTTACATAAGTGTTATTATTATAGTTATAATCAACATAATTAGCATCTAGTGTTTTCCTTTTGTCAAAAACCCACAGGAAACCAGCAACAATAGTTTGTGCTGCAATCAAGTGCTGATTATCTGGAACGGGAGCATAGTAACCATGGCAACTTTGCCCTGTTGCTACTTGTTTGTGTGGAATAACCCAGTATTTTATCACACCTCTGGGATCTATTTTAAACACATATGATTCATCACATTGTGAGGGAAACCCAGAAGGCTGTTTGTCTCAGGGTCCAGCATGCTCTGTCCATCACGGATTCACATCCTATTCATCTTTTATTGTCTCAAGCGTCAGACATCCAGACAGAGATGCCTCTTCTGCGTTTCTTGTTGTCTCAGGTCCCGTCAGCAGTGTGATCGATAAAAGAAATGGTTTATGTGCACGGACGTTGTTGTTTCCTGTATTACTGAAGGGAAGCAGATCTGCCTTTCTGTGCTCTCATCCGGCATTTTCAGAGTGGTGCTTTTCTGTAAAAATAAATACATTTTCTTCAGATAAAAGTGAATCTGTAAAAGTAATTTTATGTTCAAAGCAAGTACTTTCACAGCAGGCTGCATTTTTTGTGTGTGTTTCTTGAATATTTCAGATAGAGAGCATTTCAACAAGTATTCTGTAACTACTTTTGACATCAAAGGCTGGGTTCTAAACTTTAAACTAAGCTTGACATATTCTGCATTTTTGTTGCTTCTTAAGTTTTATCTGCCTATTCTGTCTACTTATCTGATGCCATTTTTCCAGGGTAGGCAGCCTCTGTCCAGGGACCGCTCCTCTGTTCAGTCCGACTCAGGTGAATTCCTCCATATTTCCCGACCTACAGCTGACGATGCAGGGATCTACATCTGCACTGCCACCAGTCCTGTGGGCTACGCTAGTCGGGAGATCCAGCTCAGTGTCAACAGTAAGGCAAATATGTAACCAGTGATGCTTAATAATCTAGCATGCAGGTAATATTTAGTTTTCTGCCAACTTTCTTTTCCTTTTAAGCAATTCCAAAGATAATGGGCATGAGTGGTGATGACAGCATAGTAGAGATGGCTGCAGAGGTAGGGACAGAGGTTGTTCTTCCCTGTGAGACCCAAGGAAGTCCTTCTCCATTGGTCACATGGAGCAGAAACGGGCATCCCATCCCCCCCGTCACAGCTGGGTAAGAAACAGTCTTCTCTAGTAGTTTGGTAAGATTAAATATCAGTAGAAAAATCATTTCCCACCTTTACCAGACAGTAAGCATCTAACCCAGCTTTGACATGTGCCTCTAGCTGAGGTTGGTCTGCATTCCTGAGTCATGTTGACATTTGGAGTTCAGTTTTTATGTCCCTTGAAGAAGAGCTGCTGGGCTGAGGAAAGGCTGTGTGTAGGCCTCACCCGCAGTCTAAACTGAGGAGGAACATCTGGTCCCACACGGTCTGATTCCTTAGTTTCATGTGTGGTCACCCGAGGTGCAGACAGGCTGCCTGATCTGAGACACACTGCATGGATGAGAGACACACTCTCATAGCCAGACGCTGTGCAGGGTGGTTTAGGATAGATAAGAGCTGAACATGTCTAAGACGCTGTAGAACCTGTGTGGGGCCATGAAGGAGGAGATTGTGGGGGCAGTGTGGGGGGAAGTCGGGAAGTGGAGGGAACATGAACTGACAGAAAGAGATCCAAGCCCCGTCTGCCTGATGTTCACAGTCCCTGGAGTGCCTCAGCAGTAAAACAACATGCTGACTCTTTACTAGTTGTGTCTGATGAGAATAACACGTCTCTGTGAACAACCCCCACATCCCCACGGTTTGCAAATGCAGGACCTGAAGAAACAAGCAGGCGGAGTACAGATTTGGTCTTTTCAGCTACGTGTTGTGGGTCAGGGGAGTGAGCAGGGGGCACTGGTTGCTGACATAAGTTGTGGGTGGTGAGATTTCTTTACTTGGGGGCAAAAAGACAGAGGTCTGTGAAGGCAAAGAGATGTTAAGAAGATGAAGCCAGTTTATTCTAGTTCAGTCCTAGCTCCAGACTGTGTACACAGATGCGCCAACACCAGCGTGGGGAGTAATGAATGAGTGAGAGGGCTGCTTCAGGTCTTGTGTGGCTGCTGTTGTTTAGTTTTAACGCTGGATGCTGCTTACCTTCCTGCGGCTTTTTCAGGAGATGGAAGGCGCCGTACAACAGCTGAAACAGAGAGCTCTTTGTGCTTCCAGCTGGTTTCCACTTACATGAGCATGTTATTGTTATAATTGAGCTCAGCACATACACTTATCTCAGATAAATTACAGAGGTGTGTTTACTTTTCTGTGTTTTATGCATTTATACAGCTGCACAGCTTCTGGTGCAAGTCGCACAGCCTCACTGCTACATTTACCTTACTTAACAAATGTGTGATTTGTGCTGTTTTTTTGTGTAATAAAGCATCGTCTTAGGGTAGAGTTTAGTTTGATGGTTTCCATCAATGGAGGTTTTTCTGCTTTGCTTATTTATAAAACTTTTCTTTTGACATTTTTCCCTGAAAGAGGCAAACATCAGTGAAAGCTTTGCATGACCTTGCGTTCCAGCTCAGCTGTTCAGTCAGCCATTTGATTTTCAAATATTCTCTATTTCCTGTCCTCTAAGTGATAAACAAACAACAGTTGCTGCACTTGTTGTTCCTCCCAACGGGGAGAAATGCATTGATCTTTTAGAGTCAGCGACCTTTCCCACAGCGATTTCATCATTGTGTCAAAGTTAACTGATGACTGGGGAGATTACCTGGACCTGCTAGAGATCCAGACTTTATTTCCTCAGAACTGTCAAGCCTTACAGATCAGTGTTTGTTCAATACAGCAAAGGCCAGTGAAGGTCACCGCCAACTGTTAGACAATTACATTCTACTCTCACTTTTTATTTTATATTTACAAAAGTCAATGAGGGAATAAATATAATGTGGAAAAAGATTATTTATTTTTGCATCTGTGCTGAAGTCAAAAGACACAGGAGCAGCATAAGACAGGATTACTGGCTCAGCATTTAGTCTGATAGATGCTTTACAAAAACACAGAGAAAGCGGCAGACGTATTGACTGTTCTGTAGTGCCTGATGGTTTCTCTATTTATTTCCCTTCTCTCCAAACCACTCCCCAGCTTTACTGTTTTGCCTTCAGGCTCTCTGAGAATCACTGATGTGCGTCTGATTGATAGTAAACTGTACACCTGCACTGCAGAAAACCCAGCAGGCAACGTGTCCCTGAGCTACAGTCTACATGTTCAAGGTAACATAACAAGGTTTCTTTAATGAGCTGAAATTCCTACATTCTTAAAGGACCTTTATACCAACTGGTGCACTTTCCGTTCTCAGCGAAGCCCAGGATCCAGCCAGCACCCTCCGTCCTGAAAGCTCTGCTCGGCCAAGTCGTGACTCTGCCGTGCGTGGTCCAGGGAGAGCCCAGACCAGAGATCAGCTGGTTTCACGATGGACACCCTGTCGGCCAAAAGAACTCCTCTCCCCTAAAGATCCAACGGGTCAGCCTCGCAGACCAGGGCACCTACCGATGCGTGGCCAAGAACAGCGCTGGATCGACCACGTTGAAGATTAAGTTGGAAATTCTTGGTGAATATCACATCTTCGCATCTTAGATGCAATTTTCTTGCTGAACTATGAAACTATGAATTTTACTTTCTGTATTGACTGTTCCATTTTCCTCAAAATTTAAATTAAGCATTGTCTCTAAGAGAGACGTTTGTGAATAAAAGTAAAACGGGCTGGTGCCTTTCTGCAGCAGTCTTCAGGCAAACAGATGGGTCACACCTGGGACGGGTTGCCAGTTCATTGCAGGAACTGCAGATACCTTTGTATGAAACTTTCCTTCCATCAGACATGAGGAGCCTATTGCTAGTTACATTATATACATAAATACTTTTGACCCACTCTTCCTGCTCTTCTCTAAGATACAGAAGCCAAACTCAAACATGATCTATCCTGAGTATGGCTGCTAAGTTTGACAGATTTAAAATATTTTAAGTATTATATTTATTAGTGTGACTGATGCTTTGGCTTTAGATCATATCTTCCTGTAGATGTTTATCAGAGTACAGGTATCTGCAGATTGACATTTGCTCATATAAGATAACTTTTGTGTCTGTGTGTCTGGGATTCTCCAAAGGCACTCATCTGTCTTCAAAGTTTCATCCTGATGCTTATACTGTAGATGTCGTTGGAGTGAAACTGACTAATTCTCTTGTCTTCCTCCTGACAGAGGCGCCATCTTTTGCAGAGCCTGGAGATGCCATCATGGAGAGAGTGGTGAACAGCAAGGTTGTTATCCCCTGCCGAGCTGAAGGTATGAACTGATCTATGGATGAGTCAGCATGGATCGTGTACAGATATGAATTTTAGGGTTCATCCTATTCTTATGTTGTGGTTTCTTCTGTGACATAAGAAAAAAGTTTACAGAAACACAAGTTTAAACAAAAACAGGTCATGAATTTGCATTACGGCAAAATCTCCATCCTAGCTAGAACTTACTGTTTTATCAAAGCACACGGGTACAGTTCCTTGTTTTTGGATATACAGAAGGATGCGTCTCTCTGACCACAAACATTTGTGAAGCTCTGTCGTGGTGACCAGCTGAATGAGAGAAGGTGAGAGCTGTGTCTAATGTGGAGCAACAGCTGGAACATCGGTCTGCCTCCTGCCTCCGTGAGCCACATCTGCTTTCTTCTGTGCCGCAGCCTGCTGGGAGAGGAATCCTAATTACAGGCTGCTGCTGCTGGCAGATAAAGGACAGAGATGTCTGAGTTGCACCATGAAGCAGAGGAAGAAGAGGAAGAAGCCAAACTAGCCTGCCTTCCTTCCAGGCCATCCATGCTTTAGAGAGCTTGTATAGAAGTCCTTGATGCTCTCGACACCCCACGGGGAGGGAGGGAGGGAGGGAGGGAGAGAGAGAGAGAGAGAGAGAGAGAGAGAGAGAGAGAGAGAGAGAGAGAGAGAGAGAGTAAAAGAGAGAGTAAGAGAAAGAAAGAGAGATATAAAGAGAGAAAGAGAGAGAGAGAGAGAGGGAGTAAGAGAGAGAAAGAGAGAGATAGAGAAAGAGAGAGAAAGAGAGAGAGAAAGAGAGAAAGAAAGAGAGAGATAGAGAAAGAGAAAGAAAGAAAGAAAGAGAGAGAGAGAGAGAGAGAGAGAGAGAGAGAGAGAGAGAGAGAGAGAGAGAGAGAGAGAGAGAGAGAGAGGGAGGATTGCTGTTTTGCTCTCTTGAGAGCTTCATAAATAAATGAGCTAAAGCAGGTCTGGCCAGAAGATTATTTCACCAACAAGTGTACTGCATTTGATGAAAGTAATTATTTGAGAAACACACGGAAGAGATAATCTCTGACTGATGACTTAAGGAAAAAATTCAGACTACTAATGAGACAGAACACCTGTATTTCCTCCCAGCAGCAGAAACCTAATGAATTAGCTTCAGAGCTCCTAAACTGTAAACATGTGTTCAGAGAAGCAACACATGATAACATCACTTATGATGTCCCGCGGTTAGTGTATTATAGATGTGAGGGAAAGTGCTGTGTTTATTTCCACCTAGACTTTGGGGTTTCTCTAACACCTCTGTAAATAGACGGAGCTGTGCATTTCCCTCTAGTGGGCTGCTCTCATGTGCCGGCTACAAAAACCTAAACATTTTTTCCATTCCACTTTTCCTCCCGTGGACCGTTTTCAACTCGTTTTTTTTACCCAGTAATCCACAAAACACATCTGTTTCAGGCAGCCGAGTTAAGGCGCCGGTCGCTTTGAACTGCTTGTTCACCCTCTCATATTCTTACAGCTTAAGACTCTCATTTCAGTGTGTGGTAATAAATCTTAAGTCCTGTCTTAAATATTACATCTTGCATTGCCTCAGTCTTTAGTTATTTTTTGTTTTTATGTGACTCTGACCTTGGGGTTTTATGCCTCCAGGCTACAAGGACTCTAACCGTTTTGGCAGAGTCTTGCCTGCTGTCCTGCAGATAGATGGAGAGCATTTTCTAGTCTGGGCAGCTTGCCCACAACGTTTTTCAATCGAGAATCAGATAGATGCAAGTAACTTTTTTTGTGTCAAGCATGGCCAGTAAGGCTTATTTTTTTCTCTCTTTATATCTGCAGGTTCACCTCGTCCCAAGGTACGCTGGTTCAAGAATGGCTTGGAAGTACACCCTGAACAATCAGAGTTTTCTGTGGCGAGGGATGGAGCTCTTGTAATTAGCACAGCATCTGCCAGCCACAGCGGAGACTTCAAATGTGTGGCAACCAATGAGGCAGGCTCTGTAGAGAGAAAGACTAGGCTGAAAGTAAATGGTAAGAATGTATTTATAGCTTGCTGGCTACTTTCTGCTCCAATAACAACACACATTTTTCACAGTAATGACACAAATCCCTTTCTTGTTGTCCTGTTTTAGTCCCACCAGAGATCACAGATGATGGCCAGCCACTTGATCTCACTGTCACCCTGAAGCAGCCGCTCACTCTGGGCTGCGACGCCTTTGGCATCCCATCTCCATCAATAACCTGGACTAAAGATGGTCATCCGGTGAGTGTGTCCTGCTGTACCTGTTTGATATAGCTGTGCAGTGGCACCAAGTGGCTGTAACCTCACCTACAGTAAAAAGCAGTTTTCACAACAATGAATGTGTCCAGGTGGACAGCCCGGGGGTGTACCTGCAGAACGCAAACAGGATGCTCAGAATCTACAGAGTTCAGCCTGACCACGCAGGACGGTTTGCGTGTTCTGCTCAGAACTCAGCAGGAGAGGCAAGGAGGGAATATAACATAGTGGTGCAAGGTGAGCACATAACACCAGTGACAAACTGCTAAAGAGATAAACCAGAAGCACACTTATACTCTTAACGTCTTTAAGACATTTGATGGTAAAATTGTAGGACATAAGATTGTAGTGCTCTAAATAAATGTGGTTAAAAAGTTAATTTATGTCAGTAACTCATTTTCTAATATCTAATATCTGAGATAGACTTATTGCATGATAAACCAGATAAGTCAAGCCTTTATTAGTCATAATTGTTATTATTGTGGCTTACAAAAACCCCACATTCAAAATCTCAGACAGTTAGAATATCATGAAAAGTTTCAATATTCTAAAGTGTTCCACTTTAATCAGCAAATGAAGCCATAACACCCTCAAATGGTTCCTGAGCATTTAGATGGTCTCTCAGTCTAAGTTTTTCACCATGATTTAATTTTTCCAGTTTCACCTGCATGTTAGTTAACCACTACGTTCTAGGTCATTTGAAAAAGTTTGAGCATATATTTGACGATCTGTTTACAGCTCCACCGGTGATCTCAGGAACGTCTCAACTGCAGGAACTAACTGTGGTTCAGGGCCAGGAGGTGGAGTTCCAGTGTCGAGTTAGTGGACGACCAGCACCCAAAGTGGAATGGAGCCGCGATGGAGAGTAGGGTTCACTAGTATTTCATTCACACACACACACACACACACACACAGACACACACACACACACACACACACACACACACACACACACGCACGCACGCACACACACACACGCACATGCTAGAGAGGTCATCCATTCCTTCTTCTCTCCAGGGTTCTGTCTCGTGATGGAGACCCACATGTGGAGTTTCTGGAAGACGGTCAGGTGTTGAAGGTGAAGTCAGTAAGACTGAGGGACCAGGGGCTTTACCAGTGTCTGGCCAGGAATGCTGCAGGAACTCAGATGCGCCAGTTCAGACTCACGGTTCAAGGTGCTGTTGGCTTCAGAGATGTTCCGTACAAAAGACTGGAGTCTGGCTGATGAACTGTATTTATGTTACAAAGATTTAAATAAATGAATCAGAAGGAATACGAAAGGTTCGGAGATGGGTGAAAACCACTGGTAGTGTTAGGCTAAGTCATGTGTGTTGCTAATATCTGAACTCGGCCAGGTCCATGAACACATAGAGCAGGACACTGGGGTAAATGTACTCACCAGCATTTTACATTTCTGTTTCAGGGACTTTCTTGTACAACAAGATCAATCCACTCTACTTCAGGCCACTAGAATTACAGGCTATTCAACATTATTAAACTGTCTGTTTTCTTCTCCAGCTCCCCCTGTCATCAAGGGAGTGAATGAGACCTCGGAGGTGACAGTGGTGCTGGGATTCCCCTCAGTCCTCCCCTGCAATGCTGAGGGCTCACCTACACCCAGCATCACCTGGCTGAAGGACAGCCAGCCCCTCGTGTCCACACCCCAGCTGACTTACACTAACGGAGGACGGGCTCTGCGTCTCAGTTCAGCACACGGAGGCAGCAGTGGCTTTTACACGTGCAGAGCAACGAATCCAGCCGGCACAGCCGTTAAACACTACTCTCTCAGTGTACTGGGTAACTTATTACAGTTCACATGTAAACTGAGACACAAACTTAGACACTGAACCTTTAAACAATTCAGTCTTTTTTTCTCTTCCTCTCATCAGTGCCACCACAGATAGAAGGGCAATCCTCATCCTTTCTGTTTGCTGGACAGGAAGAGAAAGTGAAAATCAATGGGAGTTTAACTCTGTCCTGTTTGGCTAAAGGTTTTCCTCAGCCCAAAATTCACTGGTTCAAAGATGGACAGGTTGGTGGGTTATCTGTATAGGCTGTGGATCGAAACCCCAAAGCTGTAATAAGTTCTTTCCTTTATCGCCCTCTACTGGCAGTCTGTGTGATTTACAGCAGCCTTTACAAATACAGCTCATTTTGCTCCATCCCTCCTCCTCGCTGCAGATTTTGTGCAGTGAGTAAGCAAGCAAGTTAATTATAGCAAATGCGTGTAGAAGAGCAAAATGCCAGTAATTAAGTATCAGAACTGGTAGTAAAATGCAGGTTTTCCTCTCTTGACCTGCAGCCTACAATTAGAATACTGCCTTCTACCAAACATTCTCATTTCACTCAGACTCATCAAAATCTAATGATGCAAGATATTTTGTAAAGGTTTTAAAAGATTATTTAAAATAACTATAAATAAATCTTTGCAAACATATCAGAGTAGATTTTGTTCTTAAAAGTTGAAGCAGCAGAATCAGAGCAATCTCCTTTTACTTACACTTTTCTTTTTTCTAACAAGGGCTACAAAATACTCTATTCTGATGATTTTTTTCGTGTTCAGCTACTGAGTGAAAACTACCATGCTGGCATCCAGGAAAGTGATCATCTCCTTCACATAGAGAATGCTTTACTGTCCCATGAGGGACAATACACCTGTGTGGTCACCAACGCTGCAGGAGAGGACAAGAAAGACTTTCAAGTAACAATTCAAGGTCTGTTCAGTTATCGCTGCACAGAAGGTTTAGATCATAGACATTTCTGTTATGATGGGACTTTATATTTGTGTATGTTTTTATTTTCTAGTTCCGCCAATCTTCCAACGAGTGTCTAACAGCGAAGCAGCCTGGGGTCTCGGACATGAGGGAGACAATGAGGACATGGTGGATAAGCGGGAGGTTGTTTTAGGTCATTCAGTCAGCCTGTCCTGTGAGAATAATGCCATCCCGACCCCAAAACTCAGTTGGTACAAGGATGGACGAAAACTCACCTCCACTGATGGAGTGGTGCTGATTCCAGGTGAGGAGGAGATCGTTCATGTGTTACCTGTTGAGTCATTTGATTTTTCTGTGTTATTTTTATGAATCAAACTGCTGTTTTACAGGAGGGCAGGTGCTGCAGATCTCTCGAGTGCAACAAGAAGATGCTGGGAGGTACACATGCCAGGCTGTTAATGAGGCAGGGGAGGACCACATGCATTTTGAGCTGGAGATCCTCGGTAAATAGTTGTTTGTTATTATAAATGAAACACAGTAATTATCACCTAAACCCAAGTCAGTATAAGTATTAGTGTGTAAATAGCAACATGGCTATAACTTTAAACGTGTCATGTGTTAGCAGCTGAGCGTCATTCACAACACAGACTCCCAAGTGTTAACACATCATGGAAGATCTTGAGATATAACGCTGAATTATGCATAACGTTACTCTTTTATTTAGGATTTGACCAAAACAGCTAGGTCTTCATCAAGATTAGATTTTTTTAGTTTACATCTCTGACAAGAAAGGTGGTGAATGATATGCATTCCTTCAAGAAATGCTAGGTATTACGTTTGTGTTTTATTTTCTTTACCTGCTTAGTCCCTCCTGTGATTACGGGAGAATCAGAGGAGTTTATGGAGGAGATGGGAGCAGTGGTCAACAGCACTGTGGTTCTGCACTGTGACGTGACTGGGCATCCAGCTCCCATCGTCTCTTGGCTGAGAGATGGGAAGCCAGTGCACTCAGACTCACAGCACCACGTCAGTGAGGATGGGTCACGACTTCAGGTGAGCTGCTGCTGACTTGAAGAGTTTTATAAGGTGGGACCTGATCAAGCAGAGGAGAAACACTCATTGTCTGAACCTTCAGCTCCTCAGTGTTCAGGTTTCAGACATGGCTGGATACTCTTGTGTGGCTGAGAATAAGGTTGGAAATGCAGAGAAGCATTTCAGTTTGATGGTTCAAGGTAGGATGCAGTTTCTTCTAAATGCTATCAGATCTTCTCTAATATTAGAAGATGCACTGATTTGTCATTACAACGCTTTTGTTTTTAGTACCTCCTAGAATAACCGGGCCAAAGGAAGAGGAGGTGAGTGTGATTGAGGGCCACATGGTGTCGTTGCTGTGTGAAGTCCAAGCGTACCCTCCTCCAGAGATCACCTGGACCAGAGATGGGCAGATCCTCCATTTCAGCACTTCCATCCACATTCTGCCAGGTCAGCTGCTGGTTAACTGCAGTACACAAATAATTTTGTCATCAGTCACATTTCCTTTCTTAAAATCTAATTCTGGCACTGATATTGCATTTCACACATAAACACCTTGTTTCAAAGGTGGCCAGATGTTACAGTTGCCTCAGGCACGACTGGAAGATACAGGACAATATGTGTGCACAGCTGGCAACTCAGCAGGACAGGACCAGAAGAGCTTTCTTCTCAGCGTTTCTGGTGAGCAATCACACAGTGAACCCATCTGCACAGTTCTGGCTCATATACACATGATCAAATCCCTAAACTCTGCTCGTTTCATGAAGATGTTTATCTTAAACCAGCTGGGGCCGAGGACAGTTCAGGAGTGAATCATACAATGTCTGATTGAATCAATCTGTGTGCACCTACAGTCCCACCCTCCCTGAAACCCAGGCATGATGCTGACACAAACACAGTGACCTCCCAAGTTGGCTCCTCAATCACATTGCAATGTGAAGCCCGTGGTGTTCCTGAGCCAGAGGTCACATGGTACAAGAATGGGCTGCAACTGGCTTCAGGAAATGGGCTGAAGATAAATGGACACCAACTGGAGATCATAGGAGCTCAGGTCGGGAAGAATTCATTACATCACACTCGTGCCCAGCAACAAACAAAACAAAATCCTTTTAAAGTGGCTTCCAACAGAACTTTTCAAACACATTTTCAGTGTTTATTGTCTGGTTCATGGAATGGGTCACATAATAAATTAGCTGACTGAAAGCATGTGTATGAGCTAGCAGCAGAAACCGTCAGATGTTTGGATACATCCTCCATCAATGCCACATTTTCTTTTTGGTTTCTAGACTGCAGATGGTGGTACTTACACTTGCAAAGTGTCCAATGTAGCTGGACAGGTGGACAGGACATTCAGGCTGATGGTTCATGGTAAGAAAAACCTCTGAAGTACACATTACCAATAAAAAGGCTATTTTAACGTTAGCATTTGATGGATGGGTGGTGAGTATCTCTCAGCCATAGACAGATAGGACATAGATGTTGGAACAACGTCACATTTTTGCCTTTCTAATTGGTTGATAGACACATTTGTGTGAGCTAAAATGGGAAGTTTGAGAGCACTCTGGTCCACACGGAAGCACGTTGGGAATGCTCCAATCATAAATTTGGTATTTCAGACGTGTTGGATTATTTTGGTCTGATTCTCAAAGACATATAAGTGGGCTGCCTGTTGAATGTGATGTGTAACTAATCACGAATTAAGGTCATGTAAGCGCTTTGCACGGTCCTCCTCTGCCATTTTCTTTATGTTGCCTGTTTGTGTGTTAAATTGGTTCATCGCCGCATACGGGGCCTCTCATGCTTTGAAAGTCGTCCGACATGTCTTGCCACGTGAACTTGATCTAACAGAATTAATGACAAATTTAAAGTAAACAGAAAATTTGTCATTTTAAATTTGTTAGATTAACACTCTTATGCTAAATCTTAGCTCAGTATGTAGACAGTTGACTTTGTTGTAGCCATTGTTGTGTTAGCTAATGTCAGTTAGCTTTGGCAGCCTTCTTGAATTAGCATGATTCCAGTTGTAGGGAATTTCATTCAAATCTGTCTTGAGGTGCCAGAGGTTTCTTTGCTAACAGACAGACAGGCAAGCACACAGACAGTTAAATATGTGAACAATCTCTGCTCAGCAGTGGGTGAAAACAACCTGTGAAAGGCTTGGGTTCATTTATTTGAGTTTACAACAATCATTTATTTCCACAGTACCACCGGTGCTTGACGGTCCTTTGCGGCAGACGATAAATTACACCCTTGGCTCCCATGTGACCCTGTTGTGTGAGGCCACAGGAGTACCTGTCCCCAGCATTACCTGGCTCAAAGACGGAACTTCTATAGGTAAATGGGAGGCAGTGATGGGGCAAATTGGAAAAGTGTGGATTTTTCGAGTATGGCAGTCAAAGTTGGGAAATGTGCTTGTCGTCCAGAGAGCAGTCTACAGTGGCAGTGGTCTGTTCGAGGTAACAAGCTGGAACTGGGCCCCCTAACGCTGTCTCACGCTGGAAGATACACATGCGTGGCCAAAAACAGCGAGGGCCAAACCCACAAAGACTACACACTCACAGTGCAAGGTAAAGATAGTTTCTAAAATATTTGTCTCATCTCAGAGCAATGTTTTTGGGTGGCATTTGAAAGAGACCATTGTGACTCCCAGTATCGCCCACCATCCTGAACTCTGACCATGCATCTGATGTGAGTGCACCCATGGGAGATGAGCTGACCCTGGAGTGCAGAGCAAATGGAATCCCTACACCCCGCCTCAGCTGGCTGAAAGATGGAGTGTCTTTAGAGGGATCAGACGCCCATCACATCTCGTAAGTCGTTCAAAGCTCCACTGGATGTTCCACAATCATCATTTTGCTTCTGAAAACTGCTCAGTGTGTTTTATATGCAACATAACAAGCAATTAACTTACTTCCCTAGTGGTTTGGAAAATTACTACACTAATCATCACAGAGGGTAATGAGCATAGCCAAAGAATGTGTGAACTGAAAAACAAGATTCATAGTCTCATAGCCAGTTTCATGATGAAGAACATCGAGAGCAGCTGTTTTACAGCTGTTTGCTTTCTGATGGGGTCATCACAACTACATCAGCCAGAGAAAACAAATCTGTGTTTGTGTGAAAACCGTGGAATGGTGATGATGATGACAAGATCCTTCTCAGATGAAGAGGTGGGGTGATTTAAAACATTAGACGTGTTTGTCTCCCTGCAGTGTGACCCCTGATGGGAGCACACTAACCTTAATGAAGCTGGCCCCCGAGGATTCTGGGACATACATGTGCTTGGCCATCAACTCAGCTGGCCAGGAGAGCAAACTCTATTCCCTTGTTGTATTAGGTTGGTTTTGACATTTATTTAAACTTTGTTCAAATTGAAGCTCATCAGTTACTTGTTTGAACTTGCATTAATTTGTCACAGTTCCACCATCAATCTCTGGTGAGACCACGATCCCCAGAGAGATACAGGTCACCCAGGACAGCGTGGTGACGCTGGAGTGTCAGGCAGCAGGAAACCCTCCACCTCAGATCAGCTGGTTGATGAACGGCCATCCTCTGCTTCTCTCTCCTCGTGCACGCCTCCTCTCTGGTGACTCATTACTGAGGTGACTTGAGATAATTGCAGCTATTCTTTCTAAACAGATTACATTTTATGGATTCTGTTCTAAATTTTCTACTTTTTAAAAAATAAGGATTGCGCCTGTGCAGCTGTCTGATTCTGGAGTTTACACATGTGTGGCTCGCAGTCAAGCCGGTCTGGCTGAGCTCAGTTATGATGTGCAAGTCCAAGGTAAAGTCCAAACATGCCATCTACCTCTTCTCTTTAGAGACAATACAAAGGCTGATCATATATGTGGTCCACAGTGCCCCCTGGAGTGGATCGTTTTGAACCAGTGGAACCAGTTACAGTGGTCCAGGGATCCTTAGTGACATTAACTTGTGAGGCGCGTGGAGTTCCTCCTCCCACTCTGACCTGGATGAAGGATGGCCAACCATTGTCTCTTCATCGCAACCTGTTGCTGGATGGGGAGGAGACACGTTTGCAGCTGCCTGACGTGGCTACCTCAGATGAAGGCCTCTACAGCTGCATGGCCAGTAACCAGGCTGGAAGCAGCACCAAGAGCTTTAACCTCACTGTTCTCGGTGAAACTATCTGTTTATTTTATTTTTTTACTAATTCCTACTCAAAAGTTAAATACTGAGCCAATGCATGCTACATTTTAATTTAGTGCCTCCAAAGATATCCTACTCTGGCTCGCCAGAGGAGCTGACCATAGCAGTAAATAGTCCACTTGAGCTGGAGTGCTCCGCTGTGGGAATCCCGACTCCCAAACTCAGCTGGCTGAAAGACGGCCACCCCCTAGACGGAACGGATATCATTCAGCAGGATGGACACGCTGTCAGGATCAGTAAAGTTCAGGTACATTACAGTTTGAAATGCTGCCTCAGAAATGTGGACTTTTGTTCATGGTTATACAAATTCACAGCAAAGATGCCATGTTGAGGTCACAGCATCATTCATGATAAAACAGGAAGGTAATGCCAGAACCACTCAAGCTGATTAAGCTCTCTGTTTGAAGGTAGAGGATGCAGGTCTGTACACCTGCCTGGCCAGCAGCCTCGCTGGAGAAGATGGAAGAAGTCACTGGGTCCGAGTGCAAGGTTCTTTCCAACTCCTCAACACTGATGCTAAAAATCCTAATCTCCCTTTTATTAAATGTTATATGTAGCTGAAATGTCATGAGAAAGACTTCACTGTAAAGAAACTGATACAACAAGTCAGTGACTCGATGCGACCTGCGGGGTTTGCTTGCGTAAGAAACTTTTAGGGTCTATTAGAATGGTTGCTTTGTAAAGCAACCATTCGAAGGATCTTTCATGGCGGTTAAAACGAAGAGTCGGAGTACCCGGCCCGGAGGGTTACCGGGGTCCCACACTGGAGCCAGGCCTGGGGTTGGGGCCCGTGAGCGAGCGCCTGGTGGCCGGGCTTTCGCCCATGGGGCCCGGCCGGGCCCAGCCCGAACCGGATATATGGGCTCGTCCAACTGTGGACCCACCACCCGCAGGAGGAACATGAAGGGTCCGGTGCAATGCGAATCGGGTGGCAGACGAAGGCGGGAGCCTTGGCGGTCCAATCCCCGGACAAGAAAACTAGTTTTTGGGACATGGAACGTCACCTCGCTGGCGGGGAAGGAGCCGGAGCTTGTGGCAGAGGTTGAGCGGTACCGGCTAGATATAGTCGGACTCACCTCGACACATTGCATTGGCTCTGGAACCCGAGACCTGGAGAGGGGTTGGACACTCTACTTTGCTGGAGTTGCTCCGGGTGAGAGGCGGAGGGCTGGGGTTGGCTTTTTGTTAGCCCCGAGACTCTCTGTGTGTTGGGGTTTACCCCGGGGGACAAGAGGGTAGCTTCCTTGCACCTTCGGGTCGGGGAACGGGTCCTGACTGTTGTTTGTGCTTATGGGCCAAATATCAGTTCAGAGTACCCACCCTTTTTGGAGTCCCTGGGACGAGTGCTAGATAGTGCTCCATCAGGGGACTCCATTGTCCTGCTGGGGGACTTCAATGCTCACGTGGGCAATGACATCTTAACCTGGAGGGGTGTGATTGGGAGCAACGGCCCACCTAATCTGAACTCGAGTGGTGTTTTGTTATTGGACTTCTGTGCAAGCCGCAGTTTGGCCATGACGAACATCATGTTCGAACATAAGGATGCCCACCGGTACACTTGGTACCAGGGCAGCCTAGGTCACAGGTCGATGATAGATTTTGTAGTCGTATCATCTGACCTGCGGCCGTATGTTTTGGACACCCGAGTGAAGAGAGGGGCGGAGCTGTCAACTGATCACCACCTGGTGGTGAGTTGGATCAGATGGCAAGGGAACATGCCGCGTAGACCTGGCAGACCCAAACGCATAGTGAGGGTCTGCTGGGAACGCCTGGCAGAAGAACCTGTCAAGACGGTCTTCAACTCCCACCTCCGGCAGAGCTTTGACCACGTCCCGAGAGCAGTGGGGGACATTGAGTCCGAGTGGGCCTTGTTCCACTCTGCGATTGTCGAGGCGGCTGTTGCTAGCTGTGGTCGTAAGATGGCCGGTGCCAGTCGTGGTGGCAACCCCCGTACCCGCTGGTGGACACCAGAGGTTCGGGGAGCCGTCAGGCTGAAGAAGGAGGCCTACAGGGCGTGGCTGGTCTGTGGGTCTCCGGAGGCAGCAGACAGGTACCGGATAGCCAAGCGGGGTGCAGCAGTGGCAGTTGCCGAGGCAAAATCTCGGGCGTGGGAGGAGTTTGGTGAGGCCATGGAGAAAGACTATCGATCGGCTCCAAAGAGGTTCTGGCAAACTGTCCGGCGCCTCAGGAGAGGAAGGCAGCAACTCGCTCACACTGTTTACAGTGGGGATGGGGAGCTGCTGACGTCAACTGAGGCTATAGTCGGACGGTGGAAGGAATACTTTGAGGAGCACCTCAATCCCACCAATGCGCATTGCGAGGAGGAACCAGAGCTGGGAGGCCTGGGGATGGACTGTCCGATCTTGGGGGCAGAAGTTGCTGAGGTAGTCAAACAACTACACAGCAGCGGAGCCCCGGGGGCGGATGAGGTTCGTCCTGGGTATCTCAAGGCTATGGATGTTGTAGGGCTGTCATGGTTGACACGTCTCTACAACATTTTGTGGTCATCGGGGGCAGTTCCTAGGGAGTGGCAGACCGGGGTGGTGGTCCCCATCTTTAAGAAGGGTGACCTGAGGGTGTGTTCCAACTATAGGGGGATCACACTCCTCAGCCTCCCTGGAAAGGTCTACGCCAAGGTACTGGAGAGGAGGGTCCGATCGATAGTTGAATCTCAGATAGAGGAGGAGCAATGTGGTTTTCGTCCTGGCCGTGGAACTGTGGACCAGCTCTATACCCTTGCAAGGGTGATGGAGGGGGCATGGGAGTTTGCCCAACCAATCCACATGTGCTTTGTGGATTTGGAGAAGGCTTATGACCGTGTCCCCAGGGGCACCCTGTGGGGGACGCTCCAGGAGTATGGGGTGGGTGGCTTTCTGTTAAGGGCCATTCAGTCCCTTTACCAGAGGAGCGTGAGTTTGGTCCGCATAGCCGGTAGTAAGTCGGACCTGTTCCCAGTGAGGGTTGGACTCCGCCAGGGCTGCCCTTTGTCACCGGTTCTGTTCATCACTTTTATGGACAGAATTTCTAGACACAGCCGTGGTGTGGAGTGTGTCGAGTTTGGTGGCAGGAGAATCTCGTCTCTGCTTTTTGCGGATGATGTGGTCCTCCTAGCTTCATCCAGCTCTGACCTTCAGCTCTTGCTGGGTAGGTTCGCGGCCGAATGTGAAGCGGCTGGGATGAGGATCAGCACCTCCAAATCTGAGACCATGGTTCTCGACCGGAAAAGGGTGGCTTGCCTCCTCCGGGTCGGGGGAGAGGTCCTACCTCAAGTGGAGGAGTTTAAGTATCTCGGGGTCTTGTTCACGAGTGAGGGTAGGAGGGATCGGGAGATCGACAGGCGGATTGGTTCGGCGTCTGCAGTGATGCGGACGCTGAGCCGATCTGTCGTGGGGAAGAGGGAGCTGAGCCAGAAAGCCAGGCTCTCGATTTACCGGTCGATCTACGTCCCAATCCTCACTTATGGTCATGAGCTTTGGGTAATGACCGAAAGAACGAGATCGCGGATACAAGCGGCCAAAATGAGTTTCCTCCGTAGGGTGGCCGGGCTCAGCCTTAGAGATAGGGTGAGGAGCTCGGACATTCGGGAGGGACTCGGAGTAGAACCGCTGCTCCTCCGGATCGAAAGGAGCCAGTTGAGGTGGTTTGGGCATCTGGTCAGGATGCCTCCTGGACGCCTCCCCGGGGAGGTGTTTCGGGCATGTCCTGCCGGCAGAAGGCCCCCGGGTCGACCCAGGACACGTTGGAGAGGTTACATCTCCAATCTGGTCCGGGAACGCCTTGGGGTCCTGCCGGAGGAGCTGGTGGACAAGGCCGGGGAGAGGACGGCCTGGAGCTCCCTAATTGGGATGCTGCCCCCGCGACCCGGACCCGGATAAGCGGAGGAAGACGAAGACGAAGACGAAGACGAAGCTTTGTAAAGTGCCTTGAGATGATGCTTGTTGTGATTTGGCGCTATATAAATGCATTGAACTGAATTGAATTGTCCAAATTCATACTGATGCATATGCAATACGCACAGGATCAAAGAGTAACACAAAATGCTCCAAATCAATATTATTTTTGTGTCTGCTTTCATATTTTACATCTGAGAGTGTGAAGCTAAGCTAGTGTTTCTGCAGTTTGACCACTTACTCTCATTTTCCTAACAGTCAGTGGAATAATTTTAAAGAGTTTCGAAGAAGCTGTGATTCATCTCTGATTCATTACATCCTGTTTGTGTTTCAGTCCCACCGACGCTGCTCAGCTCTGCTGATGTGAAAACTCTGACTGTTCCAGTTAGTGGACACCTGACCTTAGAGTGCTTGACTGACAGTGACCCCCCTCCTGATATTGAATGGTACAAGGATGAGGCCAAAGTGCAGGTACACAGCTTTTTTTTAAAGCTGCTCTGAGCTGTTATACAACACTGAACTCCTTTGACTCACACATTGTGTTTTCCATGCCTCCTGTTTAAATCAGCTGAATGGTCGAATCCAACACCTGGCAGGAGGTCAGTACCTGGAGATCCAGGAAGTCCAGCCTGAGGACAGCGGTCATTATAGCTGTGTGGTCACCAACATGGCTGGAAGCACAAGCCTTTTCTTCATGGTGGAAATTCTGTGTAAGCCTACATTCAGATTAGGAGACTTTAAATTTTTATTTAATCTTTTATTGAAAATCTGTCATAAAGAACTCAAATCCTTTAAAATCGTATTTTAGGAATTGATGCTTCCACTAAGTGAAGCAGTAATTCCATCCACCAAAGCAGTATTTCTCTCTGACTTCACTTTTCTGTTTCTTGTTTTTATCTGAATCAGGAGCTTTTATTTTGTAAACTTGAATAGCTAAAATGTCTGCACTTGATTAGTTTATTATTACAGAAAAAAACGTTTTGTGCACTGATGTAAATGTAAACACATTTTAAAGGTGATTCATTCTTTGTACTTTTAGTGCCTCCAGTAATAAAGCAGAGCAGTTCCATCGTATCTGTTGCTGTTGGCCAGGATGCAGTTTTACCTTGTGAGGTTGAAGGTGACTCCTCAGCTGCAGTCATGTGGAGGAAAGATGGCTTCCCTCTCCCTAAAAACAACAACAAGTATGTTAATTATAAAACATAGTACTCTTTACATTTACCTAAAGCCAACACAGATGTAGTCATGTTCAGAGTTCATTAAGTCTTTTAATGTCAGGTACACATTGCTGTCAGAAGGTTCCTTGCAAATACGTGGAACCCAACCAAATGATGCCGGTCGCTACTACTGCACAGCGACCAACCAGGCTGGTTCTGATCACCGAGGAATGGATCTTCGTGTTTTTGGTAAAACCAAACGATCACACTTCATCTAAATTGTTTTGTTTTTAGCTCAATTGCTCAAGTGTAAACACAGAGCGATCATAAAGCCATTCTGTTATTTTAGTGGGTCCTTCAATCGGACCAGGTCCATTCAACGTGACTGCCACCACTGGGATCAGAGCTGTGCTGAGCTGTGAGACAACAGGTATACCATCACCTAAAGTGTCCTGGAAGAGGAATGGGACTCCACTTGATGTTAGCCAACAGCCTGGTGCATATAGGTAAAGACGAGCCTGTGGTTTTTCTACTCCATACATCTTTAAACACTGATGCTCATTCTGATTGTCCTTCTGACCCAGGTTACTGTCTTCTGGATCTCTTGTTCTTCTGTCTCCATCCAAAGAGGATGAAGGTTATTTTGAGTGCACAGCAGTTAATGATGTTGGAGAGGAGCGCAGGGTTATAGAAGTCATCCTGCATGGTAATTTTTGGGATTTATGTTAAGAATGAAAAATGCTTATTTAGATTTCTGAATTCTTGGATTTGGTTTATTCTTCTGCAGTGCCCCCATCTATTGAGGATGATGTCACTGCAGTAAAGGCTGTGAAAATGTCCCCTGTGGTGTTGCCTTGTCATGTACACGGACACCCTCAGCCTACGGTCACTTGGTCAAAGGGTGGAGCCAAACTGGTCATGAGAGGAGGAAGCTATCGTGTCCTTCCTACTGGTAAGTCTGAAGAGCTGTTCTGGATTTGTAGCTTCTTACACTGTTCATGTTGTTCAACTGTTTTGATCATTTCTGTACAGGGGTTTTGGAGATCATTGCTGCCTTGCCAAGTCACGCTGGCAGATACACATGTTCAGCCCATAACCCAGCTGGAGTGGCTCACAAACACATAACTCTCACAGTACACGGTAATGGACCTCAAGCTAATATCCTGCTATGGAGAGTTCTTCCACTTACAGATTTTTTTCTGTCTTTGCTCTTTTGTTGCACTTAAATGTGTCAGATCAGCATACCAAATTCAATATCCAAGCTAATTTGAGTAAATGCAAGGTGCGGTTTTAAAAGGTCCCTCTGTGAAAAAGTAATTTGCCTCATGTTAAAGCATGAAATAACATCCCATCCCCAAAATGAGTTTAATTAAATTAGCCACACCCAAACCTTACCGTCGGACCGGAGTCACTTCAGTAGAAACTGTTTGGCATGAAGAAGTTCTCAAAAGGCAAAAGATCATGCTCCACTCTAAAGAACTCAAAGAAAAAAAGAACTAGATGATCATTGGTTACATGTGGACATGTTTTGGGTGATCTGGAAAATTTAAATTTGGCAAAGAAAGAAAAAAATTATGTAAAAAAAGCAGCACTGTATAAACCTACATGACTGCATGTGTGCTTGTCTGTGCCTTAGAGCCCCCAGAGATCAGGCCAGCGGCTGAGGAAGTGCATGTGGTGTTGCATCATGGAACTGTGCTTCTCTGTGAGGTTCAGGGCTTCCCCAGACCAACAATCACCTGGCAAAGAGAAGGAGTTCCTATAGCAGCAGGTAACATGCTATAAGTCTGCTAGATTTCTGTCTGCCAAACAGTCTAGCTCTACAGTTCTCACTGGATCATAACTGATTCTTATGTTTTTTGATCACTTGACTACTACAGATCACAGGCTGGCTGTGCTCTCAAATGGCGCTCTGAAGTTTTCTCGAGTGACACTCGGCGATGCTGGAACCTACCAGTGCCTTGCGAAGAACGACGCTGGTGTAGCCATAGCAAAAACCAAGCTAGTCCTTCAAGGTAATGTAAAATTTGGATGGCACAGATGGACATGGAGCTTTTCTCCCCGTTTTAGTTCAAATAAAATCTATTTCAGGCATTTTTAAGTGAATTCATGTCTGCCTACCTCCTGTTTTTCCAGTTCCACCCGTGCTGAGTGTACCTCGAGTTGACTATACCGCTGTCATTGGCCAGCCAGTCAGTCTGGAGTGTGTGGCTGATGGGCAGCCTCAACCTGAAGTTTCTTGGCAGAAAGAACGGAGGCTGGTGGTTGATGGTGCTCATATTCGTGTCTTTTCCAATGGAACTCTGGCCATTCTTTCCACACAGCGCAGTGATGCAGGGCTTTACACATGTACAGCTAAAAACCTGGCAGGAAGGGCCAGCCATGATATGAGGCTGCATGTTCAAGGTAACTGTAACCTTCAACATAATCTCACATTAGGTTGAGATAATGACATTAATGTTTTGGGGGGGTTTGTGTTGCAGTCCCTCCCCTGATCTCTCCTACACAGACAGAGCTGTCAGTCATCCAGGGCTTTCAGGCACTCCTACCCTGTGCAGCTCAGGGTTCTCCAGAACCTAGAGTGTCATGGGAGAAGAATGGTATCATCATACCCAACCTTCCTGGCAAATTCACAGTCCTACGATCTGGAGAACTGATTATAGAGAGAGCTGAGGTTAGTCTAAAATATAAAAAGCACTCCATTATAAATTATGTCTGACATTGTAGAGGAAACATGTTTGACACTTTTCCCCCCCTCCTTACAGTCTGGAGATGCTGGTGTGTTCACATGTGTAGCCACAAACCTTGCAGGGTCAGTAAGGCGAGATGTTCATCTGTCAATCAACACAAGGCCTGCCTTCAAAGAGCTGCCAGGTGATGTAATCCTCAATAAAGGGCAGAATCTGGCCTTATCCTGCCATGCTCAGGGATCACCACCTCCTACCATCTCCTGGACTGTCAATAACAGACTTTTTAAAGGTACTGTGGTAAAACCCTTGCTCTTCTGTAATATGACGTTTTCAGAGCATTTTGGATAAAACTGCCTTTTGATGACTATCTGACACTGGTTAAACTGTTTTAGGAGCAACTGTTGATGAGAGTGGTAGGAGCTCTGTCATCATTGAGAATGTGACAATGAGTGATGCTGGGACCTACGTGTGCTTAGCAGAAAACAATGTGGGCTCCATCAGAGCACTCTCATTTATTCGTATAAGAGGTGACTTTTGTCTCAATGATTCCCTTCTATTTGACATTACAATGTGACTATCTCACTTCATTCATATACTATAAACACTATACTATAAATACATGTCTTGTGAACCTTCAGAGCCTCCGGTGTTGAAGGGCGAAGCCCACATGTCTCAGACAGTCATCCAGGGTGGCTCTGCGATGCTTGACTGTCCAGTCCAGGGTGACCCCAGCCCCGTTCTCCGCTGGTTACGAAACGGAAAGCCCTTAATTCGCCTTCTCCGAATGCAAACACTCCACAATGGATCCTTGGTTATTTACAGCATTACCGTAAGTATGTTTTTTCTCTCTCTTAAAAAGCTCTTTGTGAAAAAAGTTAAACTGAAAAATATAGTTTAAGTGTGAACTTACAACCCTTGTGTTACATTGTGTATCCTGGACAAGCCCCCACTAATTATGTCATAGTTGACTGAAACACCAAAACATCTCAATGGCCTTCAAACTTTTTTGCTTAAAAACTGTATAATTGGGTCTTTACAAATGCAATCTTTCTGTTTCTGTGCATTTATTGACGTGTGTAAACTTGATTAAATCTAGAATCTAGATCAAAAAACGCCTTAGTGCTGCCCCCTGTGTGTTGAACTGTGTCTACTGCATTTTAAATTTGTGATTGACTGGGGCTGGTACAACTTTACACCATCAGTACAGTTTCCTCCCACTCCCCCCCCCCCCCCCCCCCCCATCCCAGGATGGAAATTCCCCACACTTGGCCATGCCATTCTGTGCCTCCTGGCAACGCCCACTTTCATAGCATTTTTCAAATCTTGACTAGGGGTGAAGTTACGTTTTCTGATGGTTTGCAGTCCCTCTTTAAAGTTTAAAATAAAAAAAATAATTTAAAGGAAAAGTATATATTTTACTAGGTTCACTGGGGTTCTGCTGAGGAGAGAACACATGTATAGAAGGATATGCCTTCTCCGGATTCAAAGCCTAGCCCATTGACAACAAGTATAGGTCAATCAGCTGATTAAGCTGAGAATGGAAACACAACAACTATGTAAAACTCTGAATGTCACATGTTGTAAATAAAATGCAATAAATGCTTTGGGTCATGGAGAAGAATAGAGCAGCTTTCATTGTGTTTATGCGTTGGTTGCTGTCCCCTTAGATAGAGGAACAGAGTGTGACTGCAGAGTGTCCTTTCCCCAACCAAATCAGATTCAGTTCAGCCACAGACACTAACAGCATTAGCAAACGAGGAAAGGGAGGAAGAGAGCTGCACGTTCCCAGACTCTGCCACTCCTTCCCTCGCCTGTAACCTCGTTATGCTCTGTAGCTGCTGCTGTAATTGCACAGCCTGCAGCTGAGACTTTCTCACAGATGTATGATTGTCCTTCCCACAGAGCACTCAGATGTTACATTTACCCTCCCTGGCCAAATCACGTCTATTATGACAGTTCAGCAGAATCAAATCAGTCGTCCCTCTGAATATGCCAACTTTTTTCTTAAATGTTTCCTTTCTCTGTAAAAAAAAAAAAAAAAAAGAAACTTAAAATAGATGTTGGTCCTGTATGATTTATTTGAGTATTAATCAAAGTTATTTCGTGTTCCTGTTTGATGTACAGACTTCAGATGAAGGAGAATATCAGTGTGTGGCTGAGAGTGAGGCTGGGACAGCTGAGAGGACCATTACTCTTAAGGTTCAGAGTGAGTCCTGCACTCAAAATTATATAGACTATTTCTCAAATCTTAATGTTCTTTTTCTTCATTTTATGTTGGTTTAGAAGCCACTGTGTAAAGCAACCAAATCCACAAACAAAAGTATAAAGTTACACTAAGGCTCTTCCTCTCTGCCTTAGTTAATGGAGGCTACTCTAACTGGGAGGACTGGGGTCCATGTAGTAGCACTTGTGGACAAGGTGTCCAAGAACGAATCAGATTGTGTAACAACCCAGAACCAGCAAACGGCGGGCGCTCCTGCAGTGGTCCGAGCACTGACTCAAGGAAATGTCAGACTGGGCTCTGTCCAGGTAAGACTAACAGACGTCCTAGATTTTAAGCTTAACTATTCTGTGAAGGGCATAAATATGATTCTGTGTGTGTTGTTGGATTTAGGCGAGGTTCCTCGTAAGACCAGAGGCAGCCTGATAGGAATGGTGAATGACAGAGAGTTTGGTGTTTCCTTGCTGGAGGCCAACATCACAGATGACATGGACAAGGGTAGCAGCACTCTGCAGGCTCACCTGGATAACATCCCCCCGACTGTGGGTGAGTCAGCATGCAGAAAACACAAGCTGATACATATCTGTATGTTTTCTATCTGTACATTTAGGAGTGGGGGATCTGCAACCAATCATCATTTTACACTTGTTAATTAAGTGATACTTATTACAGCTTTAGAAAACACAACTGTTTTATTGACAGTTGAGAAGTCGAATGTTGTCCTTTTATTCAGTCTGAAAGGTTTAATTGGACTGGTGTCTTGTTGTAGGTCCCTTGTTGCGGGTTCTGGTGTCTGTGTTCACTCCCATCTACTGGACCACTGTGCTCCAGAGCGACGCCACCAGAAACGGCTACTCCTTCACACAAGGCCAGTTCAGACAGGAGTCTCAGCTGGAGTTTGAAACTGGTGAGCGTTTATTCTTAATCAGGTTTTTAGCCTAAAAGCTCAGTGTATTTTAGGCATCTTTTTATGACGCCACTTGAGGATCTTGGCAATTCATTAAACTCCCTGCCATGTAAACGAAATGTTGGGCTTATTTCATGTTTTCTTTATGTAACACATTTATGTCCAGTTCTTATAGAGAAGCTGTGATTGTAATGAAATCAGAAGTTGACACATTAACAGAACCTATCTACTAATGTAAAAGCAACCAGCAGAGGGCAGCACTTCCAGCCTAAGCCATGCACAGATTTACACTTAAAACATTGTCTAATGTTTCTCACAGGTGAAATCCTCCGTTTGACCCACATTGCCAGAGGCCTGGATTCTGAGGGAGTTCTGCTAATTGACATCGTAATTAACGGATTTATTCCTGCATCACTAGCATCATCTCATCTGAGCCTCCAGGTGTGTTTGCTGCAGAGAACACAATAATTACAGCTCAAGCTATAAACACACACACACACACACACACACACACACACACACACACACACACACACACACACACACACACACACACACACACACACACACACACACACACACACACACACACACACACACACACACACACACACACACACATATAAACATTGCTCAGGAGAATTACAACAATGTCACACTTTTTATTTATTTTTTTACCTGGTCTTCGTCTTGCCTTCGTCTCACAGGAGTTTGATGAGTCATATGTGCAGACCGGCCGAGGGCAGCTGTACTCGTGGTCTTCGCAGGCTCATCAGAGGGGAGGAAGGCCCCTGGTGCTGCGTTGTAATCACACTGTCGTTTATGAGGGTCAGGAGAAGCGCCAGGGCCCACTGCTACAGCTGCTAAAAGTCTCCAGGATGAACAGCATCTACAATATGTTTACTCTTACTTTGGACTTCCATATCACCACAAACCTTCTCATACCAGGTCTGGGAAACATTCAATAAAACCACAATGACTTATATCTTTATTGTCACAGGCATTACTGTATTTAAATTGTGCAGCAGCCAACAGTGCATGGATTATGTTTGCAGATGGTTATGAAGACACATGCCCAAAAGGCTTCGTTCTTGACACAACCTCCTACTGTGCTGGTGAGCTACTTTTCCTCATGCATGCCTTATTAGTCTTTTGGCAGCATTTATTTGAATAATGGTCTGTATGCCACAGTTTTATTGCTTTAACAAAATGTTTTTCTATTAGATGAAGATGAGTGTGCACTGCAGTCCCCCTGCTCTCATTCATGTAACAACATTATGGGAGGATTTTCCTGCTCTTGCCCTTCTGGGTTCACCATTTCTGCAGAGACCAACACATGCCATGGTAAGCTGAACATGTAACCTACTGCAGGTTTGGTGATTATTATAGATCACAAAATACTATTATTATTGCCTACTGACGAAAGGTGGGCAATAATGTTTGTTTGTGTATCATGCATGTGTGTGCCCGTCTAAAGGCTCAGGAACCCTTTGCAGGTGTTTTGGTCCATCAGCTGATTAGAGTGTGACACTTTGAGTCTAGAATATTGAACCTTTTCGCAATATTCTAATTGTCTGAGATTTTGAATGTGAGATTTTCATAAGCTGTAAGCCATAATCATCACAATTATAACAAAGATACTTAACATATCTGGCTTTACATGCAGTGAGTCCATCTCATAAATTAGTTTAATCTCTTAAGTTAAATTATAAATTAACTTGTGCACAATATTCAGAATTTTCCAGTCTCACCTGTACATCTACCACAGAATAACTTTCATAAAGGGTGAAAGGTCATTTGCATACAGTGACTTTGACTCTTATGATGCCGTCCTTGACCCTCATGCCCTTGCATCACTTTATGAACATCATTCAGATATTGACGAGTGCTCCCAAGGCTCCCAGATGTGTCTCTTCAACCAGAAGTGTATAAACACAGTGGGTACATACCACTGCCAGGCCAAGTGTGCTCCAGGATTCAAGTCCAGCACCACAGGAACCATTTGTGAAGGTACGCCTCTACTAATCACTAGTTTACTTTAAAATACAATATTTAACATGTCAAGTTTGTGCTTTAGATGTAGATGAGTGTAAGGAGTCCACCGTCTCTCCGTGCCATCACCAGTGTCTCAATACTCTTGGTTCTTACCGCTGTGTCTGCCATCCTGGATATCAGCTGTCAGGGCATCGCTGCATCGGTCAGTAAGCTCTCTGAGATTTTAAAGTTTAATGTTAGTCACAGAAAATTAACTATTTAGACTAATTAAAACAGAACTCAAATTAGAATGCCACACACGTGATTATGTGCAGAAATAAGTAAAAACCCAGATATAATGTTTGAACGTTCACAGACATCAATGAGTGCATGAGGAGCGTCTGCCCAGCTCACCAGCAATGCCGCAACACAGACGGAGGATACCAGTGTTTTGACAGCTGCCCTCCTGGGATGACCACAGCAGAAAATGGAGACTGTGTGGGTTAGTGTTGACCATGCTGCACTCTGATCCACTTTCATTATTTAGACTGTGTTAAATTTAGCATCAGAACATAACAAATGTAGAACCACCATAATACTTGCACAGACAGAGTGTTAGAGCTTTTAGGTTTGATTTTGCAAAGATGTTTGTTTGCCTTAGGGGATGGGCATGTTCTAACAAGTCAAACAAACTGGTTTGTTCACATTATCATGTGACAAAAGTCTGGAGGTATTTGATTTTATTGTATATTAAACTAAATTTATATGATTGTATGATCTTTTGATGCTTTAGTAGTAGATGGTGTAATGAAATGATTGGATTTTTATTGGGTTATGGTTAAAATCTGTAATGTGCTTTAGTATTTTTATGAATTGATTTGGAAAAGGACTCCAGGAAGAGTAATTGTCAAGGATCCAAATAAAAACAATAAACACTCATAAGACATAAAATACAATGATAATTTCACAACATTTATTTCATACGCATCTGTAATAATTCTTCTTTATAACTGAATGTTCATGGCAAAACTCTTTTTTCAGCATCACACCAATTACTGTACTTATAAAAGCAATCATATTTAGTCCATTTAATTCTAATTGAACTACAGCATGGGCTATTAAAATCATATCATTCGATAAAACAGTGTTTAGCTACTACTTTGAATGCAAAATGTAATGGTATGGTTTGTTTTCCAGACATTGATGAGTGCCATGATGGAAGCCACATGTGTCGCTACACTCAGACCTGTCAGAACACAGTTGGAGGATATGGTTGTGTTTGTCCCAGAGGATACAGAACCCAGGGGGTTGGGTTGCCATGTCTGGGTGTGACATCACTTAAATTATACATTTATATATTATATATTTGATAAAACACCTAACCGCACCTTTAGCCAACATAAGGTTTAACCTGAGTTTTCTTCATCCTTGCAGACATTGATGAATGTCTGCAAACACCTAACCCCTGTGCGCACCAGTGTCGTAACGTGCCCGGCAGCTTCAGGTGCCTGTGCCCTCCGGGGACTGTGCTGCTTGGGGATGGCCGCTCCTGTGCAGGACTAGAGAGAGGACAGACCTTCACCAATGGTACTAGAGTCAGAACAAGATTCCGTCCACAGCTGGTTTCATCCCTTGGCAGGCCAATCCTGTCCCGTTCTAACGGAGTGTCTCGCATCACCAGACAGAGCTGTCCTGTGGGCTATACCAACAGAGACGGCACGTGCGTTGGTAAGTTTGAATTAAAGTTCCTTAACAAATTAACTCAGCTCAGCTTTTTATAATGATGGTTAACTTTTGTGTACAGATGTAGATGAGTGTTTACTGAGGAAGCCGTGCCAACATGAATGCACAAACACACATGGCAGCTTTAAGTGTCTGTGCCCTTCAGGATACAAGCTTCTACCCAATGGCAGAAGCTGTAAAGGTGAGAGTCCACCTCAACCCAGAACCTTCCTGACCCTAGACCAGTTATACTCAATTTGTATGCACCACATTTTATTTTATTTTTATTTTTTTAAGGCCCAACAAAGTCTTTTACTGTTTTTTAACACTTTATTTATAATTGTTCAATTATCAGACATACCAGTCATAACTTTTCTTACAAATAGCCATGAAGAAAAAGCAATCCCTACATATAATGACAGTACAGACAGACATGAAAAATACAAAAGCAGAAGAAGAAAAAAAAACCCAACTAAACAGATGATTACTTGACATACCTCTGATAGACTCACACAGGACCTCCACAAACTGAAAAATAAAAAATAAAAAAGTGCACCCGACGTTAGTTTTTACAGGATAATTCAGGTAGGGCAGATATGTAGTCTTTCAAGATTCCAATTCCAGGCCAGGTAGGTTGTTCACCAAAGTTATTAGAGGGTCCCAAGTTTCGTGGAACTTGCTGATGGAAACATTAAGGGTACATCTGATTTTTTCTAGCTTAATGTTCTGCATAACATCCTGTATCCAGTGATGATGTGATAGAGGAGTAGAAGCCTTCCATTTAAAGAGAATCAAGCGCCTGGCTAGTTGAGAGGTGAAGGCGATAACCCTCTGCAGACGAGCAGGGGGAGCAGTTCCATTACCAGGAAAACAACCAAAAACTGCCACCAAGGGAGAGGGTGAGATTTTATAACTGTAGGCGTTGGAGATTACTTCAAAAAAAAGATGACCAGAAAGGAATAAGTGTACAGCAGGACCAAAACTTATGATTAGAAGTAGCAGGCGTTTGTTTACACCTATAACATAGCGGACCTATATTTGGAAATATTTTCGCTAATTTCGCTTTTGAGAAATGTAACCTGTGCAATACTTTAAATTGTATCAGACCAAGCCTGGAACATATGGAGGAGGAATGAATTCTGGAGAGAGCTGTATCCCATTCCTTATCCAATAGCTGGACTTCCAAATTGTTTTCCCACTGTTCCCGATTATGAGAGATAAGCAGCCATGATATGGGAGTAGATTAATGATATTCTACTTTTTTCATTGTATTAACCTTTAAGATAGAATCCAAACAAGAAGGAGAGGGAAGTATTGGAAAATTAGCAAGCTTTTTACGAGTAAAATCTAATTTGCAAATACCGCAGGAAGTGATTGTTGGTTAAACCAAATTTCCTGGATAGTTGTTCGAAGCTAGCAAAGGTGTCATTTATATGTAAATCTTTAATACTACGAATACCTTTGTCATACCAAACTTTAAAGCCACTGTCCATTAAGGACGGTTGTAGGAGGTGATTATGCATTATTGGCGAGTGAGTAGCAATTCTTTGACAACCAAGAAGTCGCTTGAACTGATTTACAATGCGCAGTGATTGAGTTACAAGTATATTATCTTTAATATTATTAATTAGTGATGGTAGGGGTGCGCAGAGCAAGGCAGGGAGTGAATGTGGGCTGCTTGTAACCCTCTCAATCTGTAGCCATGCAGGAATCCTATCAGTCCGATCTTTTAGCCATGAAGTGATGGCGTTGAAATTTGCTGCCCAATAGTATGCGTGCAAATTTGGGAGTGAGAGTCCACCTACATTTTTCGGTCTTTCCATGAATTCTTTCCCAATACGAACTGCTTTATTATTCCATAATAAGGAAGAAATAATTTGATTAAATGTTTTGAAGAAAGGTTCTGGTATATACACAGGCAATGCTTGAAATAAATATAAGAATTTTGGTACAATAGTCATCTTAACAGAATTTGTTCTCCCAATAAGAGATAATTGCAAACTTGCCCATCTTTTAATATCTTGTTTGCACTGATCTAACAAAGGAATAAGATTACTTTTAAACAAACTAGAGTAGGATTTTGTAACTTTACCCCCTAAATAAGTGAAGGACTCTGTTGACAACCTAAATAGAAGATTGGGGTACTCTCTAGCATTGCTGCTTATTGGGAAGTATTCACTCTTAGTAAGATTTAATTTATATCCAGATATGCTTCCAAATTTCTGCAATGTTCTAAGGACTTCCGGGGCAGAGGTAATGGGATTGGTGACATATAATAACAAATCATCTGCGTAGAGCGGGACAGTGTGGGTTAGGCCACCACGTGAGATGCCTTGTATAGTGTTATCACTTTTTAAAGCTATAGCGAGTGGTTCTATAGCCAAGATGAAAAGCAAGGGGCTTATTGGGTCTCCCTGTTTAGTCCCACTTAAAAGAGGGAAGAAATCAGATGACAACCCATTAGTATTAACAGAAGCAGCTGGACTCGTGTAGACGAACTTGACAAGCTGAGTAAAGTTAGGACCAAAACCAAACCTGCCAAATGTATGGAAAAGATAAGCTCACTCGATACAATCAAACACCTTTTCGGCATCAATTGATATTCCTGCTTCTGGGGATGAAGTGCCAGAATCAGTGTAGATGATATTGAACAATCGTCTAAGATTAAAATACGAATGTCGACCCAGGATGAACTACACCTGATCCCCTGAAACGATATTAGGAAGAACGGTCTCAATTCTAAGTGCAATGGCCTTTGAGAACACGTTGCCGTCAGAATTTGTTAAGCTTATCGGTCTATAAGATAAGCAATCCCGAGGATCCTTATTTTTTTTTAATAGCAGTGTAATAGATGCCTGCCGGAGTGTAGGTGGAAGAATATTTATAATACAAATTTATCGTGGGCAGATGTTGAATGTGAGGAGTATAATTCAGAGTAGAATTACTTGAAGCGATTATTGATAGTCTGATGTTGTTCTGTTAGAGAGCTATCAGGGATAGTAATTTGCTAAATAACACGGGATGCCACTTTCTGGCGGAGCTGACTGGCTAATAATTTGGAAGGTTTATCTCCATCTTCATAGAATCTACATCGGGATTTCAAGATAAGTCTCTCCACTTGGGTGGTGGTTAAAAGATCGATTTCAGTTTGTAAGCTCGCTCTCTTCTTAATCAAATCAGGGGGTTGGAGACCCTGACATAAGTCCATCCAGGGCCTTGACTTCAAAGGGTAATTCCTCAATATTTTTGTAATTCATTTTCCTAATATAAGCAGAGCGGGAAATAATCTGCCCCCTGAGATATGAATAAACTTTACAAAGTCTGAATCTGGCAACAAGAGTGTGTCAAGCTGCCAGGTCCATTTAGTCTTCTGAGTGGGAGGAGTCATCTTAATACTAACCGGGGCATGGTCCAAAATAATAACTGTGTCGTATTCGCATTCTATAATGTCACTAAGCAAATAGGGATCAACCAAGAAAAAATCTATTCTGGAAAATGACTTATGTACATTAGAGTAATATGAATATTCTCTTTTGATAGGATTTTTAAATCTCCAAGGGTCTATTTATCACCAAGTTGTAATCTCCAGCCATAATCAAATGATGACTATCCAGACTGGGGATACAGCTGAACAGTTTCTTAAAAATATTCTCATAGTCAAAATTTGGACCATAGATATTGACCAATACTAAGCTAAGTTGAAACAGCTGTCCCACAACAATTACATATCTACCATTTGGATCCAGGATGGTATCTGATACAACAAAAGGAATATTTTTGTGAATGAGTATTGCTACTCCCTTACCTTTGCTGTTAAATTGCAAATGAAACAGTTGCCCCACCCATTCTCTGTGAATTTTAGTCTGGTCTCGCTTTTGAAGGTGGGTTTCCTGTAGAAAAGCAATACCAACCCTAAGATGTTGAAAATGAGAAAAAACCCTTTTTCTCTTGATAGCCTGATTTAAACCCTTCACATTCCAACCTATAATTTTCAAGTAATCTTTACTTGGAATACGATTAGAATTACTCTGAGCCATTAGAGCCAGTCGGCTCCAGTATATCTGTTACTCCCCTATTAAAATTATATAAAAAACAGAATACTGTGGGTGCACAAAAATAATCTAGAACAAGAGCCACATAGTTACAACATAAAACACTTAAACAGGTCTCTAAAAGGCTATCCCCCCAAAAAAACTTTGAACTACTGCAAACCTGCATTTGCATACTACCTGCAGAGTTATGTATATGAACCGTTAATGAACCCCTCTAACAGGTCTTCGAACAAGTTGTGATATTCTTTCACTTTTAAAGAGTGTAAAAAAGTAGAAAAATAACAAGAGAAAAAAAAGAAAGAAAAAAAAACAAGATTAGTAGCAGTAATAATAGCAAATAAAGTGCTACAGAGAATGTCAGAAAATACTAAACACTACTAATAATACTGATCAGAACCGACAATACAACTCGTTTTTCCCCCTCTTGTCTTTCTCTCCTCCCTTCCTTTCCCTCCCCCTCTCCTTCTAATAATTGTCCGAGTCATTGATCACCTCATTAACATTACCTCAGTCGCCACCCTCTGTAGTGTGCGAGGCGGGGCCTCCGTCCGCAGCATAGACATTATTGCTTATGTAGGTCAGCGCCTCCGCGGGATCGGTAAACCTCATGCGCTTCCCTTTGTGTGTAAACTGCAGAGTGGAAGTGTAATAAAGGCCGAACTTGATATTTGCAGAGTGGAGCTTCTTTCTGGACTCGGAGAAGGCAGAGCGTGGTTTGTTGACATCTGGGCTGTAGTCAGGAAAAATGTGAAATCTTGATCCGTTGAATAAGAGTGGGCCTTTCTGTCTGGCGAGGCGCAGGATCAGCTCTTTGGTTTGAAAGTGGTGGAGTTTGACCATAAAGGGCCATGGTCTGTTGTCGCCATCTGCTGGTTTAGAGACCAGGCTCCTGCAGGCTCTATCAACAGTGGCCTCTCAAAGTTATCTTCATCAAACACATCAATAAGTAGTTTGGCGATGAATTCTGTCGGTCGCGGCCCTTCCGCGTACTCTGGAATTCCCAAGATGCGAATATTTTGCCGTCTCGTGTAATTTTCCAAATACATCACCTTCTCTCTCAGAGCCTCGTTCTGCTTGGCTTGTGATGTTTGGGAAACCTCCATAGTATTTAGCCTCAGTCCTTCCTCCACGTCGGTAATTCATTGACCATACACACTCAGAATTGAATGAAGAGAAGCGATAGCCACCCTGTTTTCCTCATGGAACGAATCGATGGAGGCCTGCACCGCAGCAACGGCCTCTGCTAGCGTCTCCATACCGTTAGCATTAGCTTCCGTTTCTATGCTAGCCGAGGAGTTATTGGAGTCGCTTCGCATTGCAGCTTTCACAGACTGTCGTTTGGGAGACATTCATCTACTCATGAGCTGGTAAAGTCCCTTACTAATTAACCCACCAATCTCTGACCGGTTAGGTGGTCCAAAATAAGTAATTTTAGTAGTATTCAGCGGGAGCTGTGGAAGACACGTCTACTCACTGTGCATGCTCCTAAACTATCCCACATTTTAGTTTTAACCCTTTTTCAACACACCCAGTTTCAATCAGCAGGCAATTAACATACTTCTGCAAAGCCAGATGAGCTGCTGCACAGGTGATTCAACCACCAAATCAAGTGTGTTGGAGCAGAGAAACAACTAAAATGTGTTGGATACCCGTCCTCCAGGACCAGGATTGTGAACCACTGCCCTTTTTTCAGCCCTTGTTGCATTTCCACTGAGGCCTGAACTACAGGTTTGATTAGGCAAATTAGTTGCTATTGGTTAAAAAGCAAGCTGTTGTCT